ACGCCCCTGGTCCTTACTAATTTATGAAGGAGAAACTTCATATTGTTTTTTGGGAAAATTTGTTTGAAATGTGATAATAAATAAGAAATTGGAAATTAACTGCTTTTTGTTTAATTTTTAGGGGGGGGGAGCTGAGATATTGGTTTAATCCGCCCCTGGCTAGACCAGACCATAGAGTGCAAGACAGGAAACAGGACAAAGAAAAAATATATAAATTTCAACGGTTGGATATTCAGGGCTTGTCTTCAAGTTGCCTGGTTAGAAGAGAGAAGGTTCTGGATATTTGAGACTGTTATGTTTTTTACAGGTACTGCTACTTCAGGGTAACCCACATAGGATGCGACTTTAATGACAGCCTGAACCTTGAATATATACCGATCTGAAGGTGGAATTTGACATTTTGTCTTTAATATATTCTATAAATCTAAACTCAATGATTTGGAGGGTAAGGGAAAGAATTAAGTGTGGAGTTCAAGGGAACTATGAATGAAAGAAAACAGTCGTTGGTAACCCTGGAGAATAAACATAAGTAACCCCTCATTTATTTTTGGGGGAGGGGTCGGGGGGGCTTTGGATATATGATAAAGGATACCGTACACAATAGTCAATCCCTGCATTTTATGATTTGATAGCAGATAAGTAAATGAAAACAATAACAACAATTAAATATATTTTAGGTTGTATTAGTTCTGGGTTTGTGTTTCTAAGACAGAAACAGCTGGATCATATTGTTTACAAGAGAATACAGAAACAAATAGGAAACAAACTATTTTCTTCTTTAATCCTCAAATTAAAGGAACTCTTCAATTTAAGTAACCCTCAAGAGTTACACATCCGATTAACCATGGTGCCCTTTAAGCTTTAAACATAACCGTTGTCGTTTTTCCATCTTCGTCTTTACTCTAACAACGCGGTAAGACGGACCCTTTTAGTCAAATTTTTTTTCAAAATAAAATTTTTGAATTTGTTGTACATTCTCATCGTTATATGTTGAATATCATGCAAGTATTTGAGGTTTTTCCAATGGTAATGAACCCCCCCTCCCCCCAGGTAGTAAGAAAAGACTTAAACTACGCCACTGATCTTTTTTTCAAACCTTAAATATGTTTGTTCAGCGACCGGAGTATAGAGCCTGGAACCTCGCGAAGATCTGTGATAGGATGATATTTAGATAATTTTTTAAACTGACTTATTGTTTTAAATTTTAAATTTATATGTTTCGTGTGATGAATTGAAATAATTTATTAAAACGTTTTTTTTTCAGAAAACAAAATGAGAGAAAATGATAACAACGTTTACAGGTAGTACAGTTGATATTTTTAAATAACTACAAACAATTTATTAGTAACAATTTACTGAAGTGAGACCCATACAACGGTAAAAAGGAATTGTGTATCATAGGCTCAAATTAAGATTTTTGTCACAACTATTGTGATTTTATGCATTTAAGATTGCTTAAAGGCCGACTTCCTATCCCACTGTTTTACGGGTTTCACTGTATTAGGTTTAAACTTACACAAATAAGCTTTCCAAGAAAGCCCTGATTTTTGTTAGATGACGATTCACACTTTTTTTAAAACAAAATTATTTTTTAAATTGTTGTTCCCAATTTTTAACCAATAAGAGATGAGAAATATTTAGGGCCGGGATTGTAAACCCGACGATATGACGAATAGACAAATTTTGTCTGCTTACTTTTTTATAACCATGACTCAATTAAGAGTGGACAGTTAGCTAAATCATTTGATTGTTAAGACGGCTGCAGGAAACAAATCTAATAGAGAACAAATGGACGGAATTCAAGCAGCATAGGTAAGTTTTACTTAAATAGACGAATTTTTAAATAAGTTTAATTCGCATTTCGTCACAATACTACAAAATTACTTTTTTACTTCTTGATCTGACGTTTTACGATGTAAGTAAAACGTAAAATTCAAAGCCTTTTTTAGAGATATAAACTTTGTTATTACATTTATATCAAATTGTACAAAAAATCACATTTTTATAATACTAGGACGATTTCAATAGATTTCTGATTACTGGACCGGAGTTACATTGCCGCCGATTTTCGATCTAGGTTCTTTCCGAACTAGAACACTATACTTCAGACACTGGCAACCCTGAAAAATAAATTTTTTGTAAACAAAATTTTAATCAATTTAAAGGTCAAATTAAATCACCCCTTCTCCAAAAAGAAAGTAATTAAAGTAGTACCTCGTCACAACCGGGATTGCAGTTAGGTCCTCCATCAGACAGAAGACGTTGAACATCATGATCATCGAGTTTGAGGCAGAGGTTCTGGTCTTGTATATCCTGGATGGAGGCCTGGAGACTGACAGGGGTAGATAGGTAGTCGACCAGGAGGATAGATCGATCCTGTTCTGGTGAACTACCGATCGTATATTCAGGATCTCTGGGGGTAGCAGGAGTAGGATCTTCAATACAGATTCTATACCTAGATAAATACAAACGTTAGAAAAAGTAAAGATGTATAGCAAAGGGTTCATATTGCACAAAGTGCCAGATTTGATGAACTAAGATCAAATTTGTTGGCAACTTGCATTTTTTAGTAAAGCAATACTAAGCATACTTTAAAATATACAAAGAATTAAAAAAAAAAAACAGTACTCACTTGAAATCCTTTAATTGAGATGGTGTTGCCGCCATCCAGAGCCAGAAGTAATAGTGGCCTTTGTTCTAGAATTATTATTATTAATCTTTAATCGGATTAATTATTTTTTAATAACAAATTTTTTTTTAAATTAAATCAAACAAAGTCTGAATATTCTCCTACCTGATTATCCACCTCTCTGAAGCACATGAGAAAACATGCAAATTCATAAACAAACATCTGAGGTTCCCACCAGAAAAATCTAAATATCAATTTATACAGATCTAGTTAAACCTATGAAATAGTGTAATTTGTTTTTAATGAACTAATATATTTATAAACAAAAATCCTAATTTACCTTAAATCCTGGGTGGCCATCATATCAACCTTTGGTGAGAGGTATGTGCTGAAACTAGCAAACGAGTTTTTATAAACGCTGAGCTGTCCGTGACGTGGGCCAAGCTTGTGTGACTGGTTTACATGTTGCTTGAGTAGTTCAATAGATCCAGCTGCGCCAGGGCAGGTCAGCAACGGACAGAAAAAACTAAAGCAAGAAAAAATTATTGATAGAATAAAGGAGCTTAACTTTTGTATCTGCTAAGAGAATCTGTCTTAAATGGTACCTTTGATACGAGCATTTCTCTTCGTGTTTCTGCCTAGTTTTCCACGGTAGCTGTTGAGGGCAACCCAACTTGGCATTCTTACACGGGAAAGGAATCAGCTTTGCAACCGCTTCAGCCACCAGAGGACGGTTAAGTACAAACTCTGCCCTGCAGATAGGACACAGGCTGCTGGTCAGCTTGCATTTGCATAAATAGCAGATCAGATGCCCGTTTTCACATCGAGGAATCCTAGAATAATATGATAATCTTATGTGGAAAAAATGTGATAATGATATTCTTAAACTCGATGAAATAATCTCAGGCCTGCGGCTTTCACTAAAGAATACATCAAGATTATTTCATCATATTTGTGAGGTTCCATGGGCACATACCGTTAGAAATTTAACTAAATGTTTTTAAAAAGATTTTATGACTTTTACGAAAATGCATGTTATTGTTGTGTCATTGTTTCCTTAGTCAAAATAAGGAGCGTGTGAGAATGAATATTCCTCAAATAATGTAATAATTTTCATTCTTTAATGCTCGGAGCGTGTTAGAATATACATTTTTTCACTTTCTGATCGTGTAATTAATAATTTCCATTCTTACACGGTCTGAGTGCTAAAGAATGAAAATTCTACTTGATCAGTGTAAGAATAAGCATTCTTAAACGCTGGGAAGCTAACTAATAAGAAGAAATGTCTCCCGAACCGTGTAATAATTCCCAGGATTACTACTATGGAACCGAACAGACATGATTTAATATTAATTTTTAAATGAAGTTTAAGTAATCTCGCGGTTAACGAGTTCCATCTTTAAATCTTTTTTAACGCATTTAGAAATATTTAAATTTTTACCTTGGTGGCATACATTGAGTGTAGCAAATAGGACATTCAAGCTCAGAATCCTCGTCCTCAAACTCCTTTCTTGAAATATCAAGAACATCCAATTCTTTGGTTACATCTTGGATGCAGTCTGATTCTTCTTGGAAGAATTTTACAGACATAATTAAGGTCTTATTAAGTTGGTTGTGTGTAACACACTAATTATATGTTCACAGTTAAGGCTTATTATCGGGTTGACGGTCAGATTTCGCGTGGGTTAGCGGACGGTTATCATAGCATTTTCAGCGGTCAAGATCTGCAGGGCTGCCCTGTGATTGCGGGCTAGCAAGGAGCGGTCAAGTTCTGCCGGCCTGACCTGGGATTGTGGGCTAGCTGAGCAGCGGTCAAATTTGCCCTCCTTAGACACCCCCCCCCCCTTTACACACCCCATGCATTCTCTAGTGGTTCACTAAATTGTATTTATTTTGGTATTTCTGCAAAATGTAATAAACATTCCCAATCAAATGTAAAAATGCAGAATAATAAAAAACATCCGTTTTCCAATTTGTTCAGGTTCTAGGACCAAAATATGTAATACTCTAAACCATTTTTATCTCTGTGTTAAAACTACGTTTTCTTCGATGAATATTATTTTTAGGTTTGTTACTTCTGAATATGTTCGGATAGATCAACAGAGATTTCTTAAACCATTCTCGCCTACTTTAAACGGATTTATTAATACCGAAGGTAAAAGGAGGCTAGATTAATTAAGGAATTGATTAGATCCAATTAACAATCTATTATACGATACAGTGGTTATCGGAATATATTGATAAATTGAGAAGATTCAAAATTAAACCTAAGTACAAATCAATTTACAAATAATATAATGTAAAAATTTATCTTAAATGTATAAAAACTTAACATCTTTATTGTAAAACTATTTATTTTTTATAAACATTACCGGTGTGAAGTAAGAAGTAAGCCCCCCTTGCATGAACATATATAGGATTTGAATACAGCAAAGTAGAATTGTTTAAGCAAAACCTCAATTGAAAATATATAGGTTACTAGAAATACCGTTTTATCTATTCCAATTTAAACTTTGTTGTTCACGGAGTGAAACAATTATAAAAATCTTAATCTATTTTGTATACCATTTTTTTGCTGTACGTTATAAATCATTATTGGTCAAAACAAAGTCGATTAAAGGTATTTTGTGACTTGGTCTAATTCTGATAAAATATATTGATACGAAATGATTGTTTATTGCTAATGTATATTAATTACTATAACTAAAACTGATATAATTTTCTAAAAATTACACTCCATCCTTCAGTCCGATTACAGAAAACAAAACTTTTTTATATTGTCATCATGTTCATTTTTGTTTTTACACTTTATTATATTATTATTATATTATATTTAGGTGGAACTCTGTATGCAGGGATTAATGATAATGGAATAGTTAAGGGAATTCAGCTCTCATATTCTCAAAAACTTCATATTAGGTTACTAGTTTAAGAATAAATTGTTCTCTTGGAAGGATTCTTTATCGAAAAAGATAGATTGCTAATTTAGGATTAGCTAATGTATTATGTAATCGGAATTTTAATTGTAAGTATGAATATTTAATTGGTTTGGGAGACTTAATTTTGATTATTCGGGCCGTGAACATCCAGGCTGTTTGGTGGAGCCTCAAGCAATTCCTAAAATTTGATTTGATTTGATTTGATTTGATTTGATTTGATTTGATTTGATTTGATTTGATTTGATTTGATTTGATTTGATTTGATTTGATTTGATTTGATTTGATTTGGTTTGGTTTGGTTTGGTTTGGTTTGGTTTGGTTTGGTTTGGTTTGGTTTGGTTTGGTTTGATTTGATTTGATTTGATTTGATTTGATTTGATTCATTGTATGTTCTTGATTATTTTTAACGTCACAGATGCAGAACTGGAACTATAATCTATCTATAATTTATCTAGTGTGTTCCGTAACCCCTTAAAGTTAAACTTTTAAGTTGTAAGATCTAGGGGAATCTAGTTTGATTAAAAATATATTCAGATTTAATTATTCAGTGTTTAAATCCCCTCTCCCTTTGAAGCATCAAAAAGCTAATGGCCCAGGTCCCTACACATTGAATAAAAATTGTAAGATTTTATTTTAGAATGAAGATTACTGATATGTTCAACAGATATAGTCCTCCAGTTTCCACGGTAAGCCAATATTTTGATCTATTCATTCAAATATTAAAATTTAAACTCGTAGAATATTAACAAAAATTAATTCTTATGGATCATTTTTTTAGGATATGTATTCTGTGAAGTTTAAACCTGTCATTTGTGAAAACCCTGATCAGGAACACAACCAGAGTAAGAACGGGAACCAGGAAAATGAACAGAATGAGAACCAGGACCAGGAGAGTGAACAGAGTAAGAATCAGGACCAGGAGATTGAACAGAGTAAGAACCATGATCAGGATATTGCCCAGAGTAAGAATCAGGACCAGGAGATTGCCCAGAGTAAGAACCATGACCAGGATATTGCCCAGAGTAAGAATCAGGACCAGGAGATTGAACAGATTAAGAACCATGACCAGGATATTGCCCAGAGTAAGAATCAGGACCAAGAGATTGAACAGATTAAGAACGGGAACCAGGAAAATGAACAGAATGAGAACCAGGACCAGGAGATTGAACAGAGTAAGAACCATGATCAGGATATTGCTCAGAGTAAGAACCAGGACCAGGAGATTGAACAGAGTAAGAACCATGACCAGGATATTGCTCAGAGTAAGAATCAGGACCAGGAGATTGAACAGATTAAGAACCATGACCTGGATATTGCCCAGAGTAAGAATCAGGACCAGGAGATTGAACAGATTAAGGACCAGGATATTGCTCAGAGTAAGAATCAGGACCTGGAGATTGAACAGAGTAAGAACCATGACCTGGATATTGCCCAGAGTAAGAATCAGGACCAGGAGATTGAACAGATTAAAATTGAACGGTTTTGACCATTTCAAATTATTTCAAATCCACTTGTCTATGGTCAATTGGTCTATCCAAATATTGTATCCATTTTACTTTTACAGGCAATGCTGTCAAATGTTCTCTTTGAAACTGAATTCAGAAATTTTAATACAGACGGAGACACGTGACCATAATACTACACTGCCATTGGTGGGAGTTTTGGTCACGTGATACGAACGATATAATTATATTGTCAAATATATCTTTTATAAATGAAAAATTATCAAATTCAAATAATAATAGGAGCAAACCCAAGTTACTTAGGCTTCTCTGGAATATCGTCGGTTTCAGATTGGTTACGTATTTCAGAGGATATTAGTTCCAAAACTAACACTTGGCCCATTTCTAACCCTGAGTGTTAGAAATGGGCCAAATCTGCAAATTTATCTTTTCAAGAGTATATATCTTTGAATCCAAGTCGAGTAGAACAAAATTACACCATATATTTATAAAAAATGGCTAAAACTATATATTTAAACAATAAATGTCAATTTAAAACTAATAATATGATGTGATAATTAGTTATCGATGATTCTTAATCTCATTTCAAACATATCCCTATTTTGAAACAATTACTGGATTTCAGCTCATGTCGCGTTTTCGGAACATATCCTGGTTTTGAGACAATTACCGGAATTCATATCAATGTCAATTTTCAAGTGTTTACGCACTTTCGTAACAAAACAAGATTTTTTGATAAGGTAAAATATAAACAAAATAAAAAATAAAAACAAAATGTGCTTTTATAATTAAAAATCCTTACAGCATTTAGAAATAAAAATATTAATATCATTTGTTCTTAAAATATAGATTTAACGAGAAATGCGGGAAATTGTTTGTCTAAAATGCGTGAAAATAAATCATCCATATTCTCTAATTTAACAGATAAAATGTGGAAACTTGGATTCTAGAAATAATTCAGAAGTTAATTTAGTCTTCATAAAATAATTTTTGTTTTCGGTGATTTATTTTGTAAGTTATGAAAGTAAGTTTTGTTTTGAATTGTGGATTATACTCAAAAATGGGAAAGTGGATTTTGTCTCGAAAACGCGACAATGTTTCAAATTCAGGATATGTTCGAAAATGGGAAACCTAACATTGTCTTGAAAACGGTCAAGATATTTAATATAAAAAGAACTAAGGACTAAGATTTGGTCAAATAAGTACATTGGTACTAGTCAATTAAGCTTTTGCAGGAATCCATTTTATTTGATTTGATAAATTTTCAAAAATATAATTTGATTTGACAAAAAAGTTTAAAATTGGGAATTGTCATGTTTATAGTATGTTGGTTATAGTTTTTATTATCTACTTTTACTCTGGATATGGGCTGGGATCCCAAAAACCCAGTCTTTCAACCGCTTCTTTTCAACTAGAACCGCTGCATTAGAAGAGTGGTTTAGTTGTTAAACTACTTCTCGTTATTCATTAAATCCAGTCCCAGGTGTCCCAAAACTGGATGCCTACATATACTTATATTATAGATGTGAATCAGATTGTTGGTGTGATATACAAGCTCAGATATTGATAGAACAAGGAATAGATCTTCCCCTTTATATAATTGAAATTAGGTAACAAACAAAGATCTGAAGCTGTTATTATTTGTCGAAACACATGGAGATAAAAACAACATGAAAGGCATTTTTAACGTACTTTTTTTAAGGTTCTTAAATCCTCCATTTTAAGATGTCCGATTCACAACGTACCATTAATAGGTTTGTCGGTTCAACTTAGAATTAGACCAATATGTTTGGGTTTTAAAAGCGGATTATTTTTATATTGTCATATTGCTCTGGTTTCGCTTAGATTCCAATTTTGGCAATATAAAGCTATTCTTAAACTGGATATTTTTTTCTTCACTATATATGCTCGACGTTTTTCACATGTTTATCGTAACTGTTTTTGAAAATGTTTAAGGTTTTAGACTAAATTTAAGTTTTGACATAGTCTGACAAACTGTTCCATTTGGTTATCACTCTGACGGAAAAAGTTTTTGCTAATGTTAGAATTGAACATCTAAATTAAAACTACAATTGTGGTTTCTTTTCGGAATGTAGGAAAACCTGAAAAATGACAATATCTTCCACATTATGGACAAGTTAAATGTTTCAAGGGTACCATTGTGAATCGGCATTTGGTATCTTTGCATGAAGGATCCCCCTTCAAATACTGCCTTAAGATAAATAAATATATTTCTTATTTTTTTGTCATTTCAAATGTGTAAAATTCAAATTTATAATGTAAATCTTCTGGATAACAAATAATTAATTAAAAATAATTTTAATCCGTGAATAAACTTCAGTGTTTCCGCAGCAGAATCTTTCACAGCTAATGAAGAATCTAAATATTATCTCAGGAAACATTTAATTTAAAATTTAAATTTGGCTTGTTTGTCTTTATTAAAAAATGTTAAAGTGGTTGAACCGATCGTGCTCAATTTTTGTTGGCAACTCAGATGACCCCAGGAAAGGTTATTATGGACGATTAAAAGTGAAAAATATGAGAAATCTGTCAATGTTAACTGAAAAATACTTAACATTTTGAGTTTTACAATTACGAAGAAAAAATGGCCGCTTGACGAACCAAATTTAAAACGCTTAAATTGTTGCTAGAAGAAGCCTAGTTTTAACAAATTTAAATTAATAAAATGTGCTACAGAGGACAGTGTTCCAACGTTCAGCATACACTCAAGTCATTAAAGGATCTCTCTCTTACCCATTCCGTCAAACCAAAAATGTTTTAGAACTTGATCATCCAACTTCTATCTATCAAAAATTGTAAATTTTCTTATTGTGCTTCTAGTCTACCCCCTCCCATTAACTAATAAGAAGAATCAAAGATATTTTTAGATTGATTTCTTAAGAAAATTAAATTATGAACTTTTTTTCATCGCAAAGTATTAGAATTTTAAAAATTGTTCTTTTATCCTGGTTCGAGAAAGTTTACCAAATGTGTTACCAAGCTAAAGCATTTTCTTTACTAATATTTTTCCCCTTTTTTATCAGCTTGTAGAACTGACTTTACTCAGCTCGCCAGTTTACCGCGTCTTCCATATCAAAATAAATTCTGTTTAATATTTTCAGATCTTGAAAGATAGATAGATTAATATGGGGAACTGTTGTGGAACCGAGGAGCCTGGACCGGATCCTGTGAGTTAAATTTATAAATATTTCGCGCAAGTTTTACCAAGATTTGTAGCGAAGTTGTGAGGCATTTTTTGGTGTAAAATTATGGATTTGTTTGAAAATGTTAATTGCGTCAAGATCTGCGCACCGATGGTTAGATATTCTAAACTTCCATTTAGGTAAGATATTTTTTTTTAACATACTGAATACTTAACTTTGCTCAAACTTGTTAAAGTTCTAAGATTATCATTTATCAAACTGAAAAAAATCAGAATATTTGGAAAAAAATTTAATTGCAAGAACAAGACATAAAGTAAAAAATCTAAACAAGAAAATTATAAACGACAAATGTCTCCTATTTTATTGATATTCATAATATTATATCTATTTGAGAATTTCAATGGGTTTTATTCACCTTATCTGATATTCTTTTTCACATGGAAAATCTGTTCTTAAAAGGGCTTGGTGTAATTTTAAGGAACCTTCCATTTGTAGAATGGTTTGTCCGTTTCAGAGCAATACCCTTTAAACGTTCAACTTTGACTGATCAGAGACGTCCTATCTTCATTTATCTAGTGAAACGCTTGTAATTGTTTGCAAGCGGTTTCATATTTAAGCAATATTGATGTTAACTTTCCAGTAGTTAATAATTTTTACATTTTTCAACCGCCTCGGACATTAAAATATTTGGAATATATGTAATGTCGGTAAAATGAGTTCACATTGTACGCTAGCGTACACTCCAATTTTAAGGCAGTTTGAACACCATTCAGATATTTAAATACGGAGTTCTCTACCCTCGATGATAATTTGAAGGTTGAAAGGATACCGCTTTAACTCGGGTATTCCCTTGTTTGTTCCTTGAAATTATTATATTATTTATCCAATAGGAGTTTTATGAATTGGTTTAAATTATCTTTATTCTTTTTCTGATCTTGATTCTATTCTGTTTCCTGTGTAGATTGCTTGTGAAGGACTATGGATGTGATCTAATGTACTCTCCAATGATCATGGCAGACTCCTTCTACAATTCACAGGTTTAAGAACTTTGTCAATATTAAAAAATGCCATCAACTAATTTAATTTGTAAATGTTCATTAGATATTTATTGTTTGACTCTCACCTCTGATGGGTAGTTGAGATCAAATCTTGATAATGTTTGCTTTAAGACCGGATCATTTTATGATCATGAAAATGCATGACACTAGTCTGAAATTATATTATTACAGAACAAGGTCAAAAAATCTAAAATATAAATGCATTAGATCCTTGACATTACAATATTCATATACTTTCCTTTAAATATCTCATCTATAGAATTCCTGTATAAAATGTTTATATTAGATTAAAATCAGAATTTGTTCAGGTATAGATTTATGAGTTTTTACAATTATAAAAGGTGTTTTTAAATATTTCTCACATTTTCCAGGTCGTCTTGATCCATTAGTTTAACTGTAGTTGTAGGTTGTAGAACTACTCCTGTAGCTGTAGTTGTAGGTTGTAGAACAGAACTACTCCTGTAGCTGTAGTTGTAGGTTGTAGAACTAGTTGTAGGTTGTAGAACAGAACTACTCCTGTAGCTGTAGTTGTAGGTTGTAGAACTACTCCTGTAGCTGTAGTTGTAGGTTGTAGAACTACTCCTGTAGTTGTAGTTGTAGGTTGTAGAACTACTCCTGTAGTTGTAGTTGTAGGTTGTAGAACTGCTTCTGTAGTTGAATTGTAGAGAATATTAGTTACTCCTGTAGCTAGGTTTGTAGAAAGTACTTCTGCTCCTGTAGCTTTGTTTATGAAAAAGAAAGTACTCTTTCTCCTGTAGGTTTGTGATTTTTAAATATTCCTGTTCCTGTTAGCTATACTCCTATAGATTTGATCCACTCCTGTAATTGGCAGTAGAGGACAGAGTATCCCTTAAAAATCACTAAGGTTTAACTTTGTGCATTTAAGATTTTTATAAATGATTGTTCACCTCAGGCTATTAATCCTGCTCATAATTTATACATAATATACCATTTGAAAATTTTCAGATTTAAGGAAGGGGGAATTTCAAGAACTTAATATTTTGAAGATAAAATAATCACAGAATTTATTGCCGGGACAGTTTCACTGCTCCTTTTAAGTCTCCTGGAATGGAGATTTTATTAATTGATTTTTTTAGCTCTAAAATGTAACATTGATATGCTTTTATTTCAGAAAGCCCGTGACAACGAATTTATAACAAGTAAGCAATATGAACATTAAACATTGAATTTGATAGAGCAAAAATTGAATTTGATATTTTGTTTAAGATACTTTTCTACAAACTGTTTTTTTAGGTGAGGACGATAGACCATTAATAGTTCAGTTTGCCGCCAATCAATCAATCCACTTCTCAGGTAATGATAAACAATTTGAATTTATTTAAAAGTTTGAACATTAAGTTTTAAAAAAAAAGTTTTTAATAGAGAGTGCGCGAATGGTTGAAAAATATTGCAACGGCGTGGATTTAAACTGTGGATGTCCCCAGAAATGGGCAATCAAGGTAAAAATAATATAATCCTCCGGAAACCGACTCTAAAAATAAAATGTTGTTTTTATTAAATTTTTAAGGAAGGTATTGGTGCTTGCTTAATCAATAATCCTGAGTTTGTTGCTGATGTAGTCAAACAGACAAGGTAGTTTTTAAACTTAATTTTAAATAAATAATTTATCAACTTAGAAATGGTACCGATCGATCCAGTTTTGTCTTTATCGTAAATCAATGAAAAAATCTCATCGTATTTCCTGATAATCCATGCTTGAATCCGGGTTTACGGGTTCTGAGATAAGCGACATGGCAACAATATCACCCATGATATACAAAATAAAAACTTTTTCAGAATGAAAGTTTCTAATCCTAATTTCTCTGTATCTGTGAAAATACGAATACATGAAGATATTTCTCAGACTGTTGACCTCTGCAGACAAATACAGGTTGGAAATCAGTTTATCCCCCCTAGGTTTTTTTTTACCCAATTCATCACAACATTGTACATTTTATTATACTTGCCAACTTTAAACAATGTCTTTTAATAAATCAAATAACCTTTTTGCGATTAGAATACTGCTCAGTGCTGATACGTATAGGTATTTAAATATTTAAGTACGTACTGCCCAGTGATCAGGCCGCAGAAGCAAGCTACATAACTGTACGGACATGCGTAAATAAAACTATAGTTTGTACTGCTGCTAGGTTTGTACTGTATACAAGTTTACATAACTATAGTTTGTACTGTTCAGAACACAGGATCAAGGCACATAACCGTACAACTGTACATAAGCTATAGTTTGTACTGTTCAGGCCACTAGATAAAGCTACATAAATTTACTTAGTTTAACTGTTCAGGTCGCAGGAGCAAGCTTCATAAATGTACATTGTACAACTGTACATTAACTGTAGTTTGTACTATTTAGGCCGCAGGAGTAAGCTACATAACTTTACATTGTACGAGTACAATTGTACAAAAACTATAGTTAGTACTGTTTAGGACGCAGGAGCAAGCTACATGTACACAAAAAGTGTACAAGTATACAAGAACTATAGTGTGTACTGTTCAGGCCACAGGAGCAAGCTACGTACCTGTACATTGTACAGTTGTACAAAGAACTATAGTTTGTACTTTTCAGGCCGCAGGAGCAAGCTACATAACTGTACATTGTACAGTTGTAAAAAGAACTATAATTTGTACTGTTCAGGCCGCAGGAGCAAGCTACATAACTGTACATTTTACAGTTGTACATATGTGAGACTTGTAGGTTTACACCTTTAGTTTGTTTATGTTTATTTAATTGACTCTCGTCTCTCACTTTATTTGTCGCACGTGTCTCAGGGACGTGCTAAAGATTTATTTTACCGTGGAATAATTGTTCCTCTTTATTACTCAGGATAGAAGATAAATCCAGGTTTAAGTATTTATTTATCCTCCATAAGCAGGTGATAACTGAAATATTAATCACATTTAAATAATATAATAATAAGAACAATAGTTGATATTCAGTAAAATAAGCTATTTGTAAGGCGCTGCTTTTTAAGAATTATAAATAAAAAATACTCACATTACGGACATTATCCATTTGCAAGAGAGACGGTCTAAATTCACAGGTTTACATGCTTGTTTGATAATCGACGTCTAAAACATGATGACGTTAAATTTTCAATCAATTGATAATACATTTTTGAATATTTATATCTAATTAAAATCTTTAGAAAAATAAATATTAATCACCTATAGGATCATTTTGAGGTGCAACAACCTAAAGAGATCATGATCGCTCACACCCAGCGATCTAAAGTTTTAAATCCAGATTAGCTTTTGTCACGAAAAACGATTTAGATGTTTTTCGTGTTCAGGTTTTATATATTTCACATTATAGTTCAAGAGTTTTTTGTGAGGAATATACCTGAGTTGGATTCAGGATAAGCACGATCCGTTAAGCATAGTATGGAACGACTATGCTAAAAAAGGGCTGCAGAGAAATCTTCTGTGCACTTCAGGGTCTAGAAAAAAGAATGTTTTAGGGTCTTTTTACTAGAGCTGAAAGGTGTGATTAAGTTTTTAGAAGAATGCATAAACAAATATATATTTGTACCTATATATTTAAAGCTGAGAACTAGTCCAGCTGCTGTACACACTACACGGTCCTTCCGCCTCTATAAAAGATGCATTATTCATTTATGCTCATCTTAAGTAGGCTTTTTAGGTAATTTGTTTATTTACCTAAAAGGCTACAAGAGGCCGCAAGGACGTAAAGTAGAGGTACAAGGATCCGTCGTAATTGCTATAACTTCAGATCTAGATAAAGAATTGATAATTTTGTTTTAATCAATTTTATGTTTTTCTTGAATGCAGACTTCTTTACAATTTTACATGCATAAAAAATGTACCTATGAATATTTATCAGTAGAAGGATGTGGAGGGTTGAAACATCCCGTCCACAATCCATGGGAGTTTTATGTACGCGCCGTACATTATATCTGAAACATTCAGATATTAAATATAAAAGGTTTTATCATTTTAATTTCCAGGCATAGAAATTAATATAAGTTTTAGTTTTTAAAACTGTTTAAAATGTTTCCAAACAATACTTGGAAATATATTTTTTTTTAAAAGAGTATATAGGTTTTTACTTTGATTAAATAAAATTGTGTTTAATTGGAGGAAAAGATTTTAAGAGACATGGACGTGGTAAATTATAATTATGAGGATTGTGCGTCCCCCATGTTTCATCATGCGTCCTTCTCGAATTTCTCCAACTATGAACTTCTCCTGTGGTCGAGTCGTCTTCCCTAAATAGTTCAGAATTTACAACATAGTAGTATAGTTTGTACTGTTCAGGCTGTAGGAGCAAGCTATATAGTTGTAAAACTAGTTCTCCAGCAGTCCAAAAACCTCACAGCAAAGTGTACGGAAACCCTTTTGCCCCATCCTTGTATTCAATTCTCCTTGTCTGTACACTAAAGTGTACAATTATACATAGAACTATAGATTGTACTGTTAAAGCCGCAGGAGCAAGCTACATAACTGTACATTGTACAGTTGTACATAGAACTTAGTTTGTACTGTTCAGGTCGCAGGAGCAAGCTACGTTACTGTACATTGTACAGTTGTACATAGAACTATAGTTTTACTGTTCAGGCCGCAGGAGCAAGCTACATAACTGTACATGGGAGAACTAGAACTCAGAAAGGAGAACCAGTTAATTTGGAGGTAAGCTACATAATTAAAAAAGACATTCGTATATATAAATATGTTGTCTATAGCTGGCCAAACGGCTGGACTGATTGGGTTGAAATTTTTTGTGGACACTCATGGGTGGCCGGGGGATGTTATTTTTTTTTTCAAAATTTGGTTTTAAAATTTTTTTTCACGGGCAACGCCGGGGCCCTTCACCTAGTCTTTAAAAAGAAACCTTTTTATGTAGTTTTTTAATTAAAAAAAAAATGCCTTTAACGTTTCACAAAAATTCCCCATCAACTTTTTTCTGAAAAAAGAAAAAACTTCGTCGGAAGCATCAATCCCTAGTGATTTGATTTGAATAGATTTCATTTCAATTGAATTGAATATTGAATATTGAATATTGAATATGGAATATTGAATATTGAATATTGAATATTGAATATTGAATATTGAATATTGAATATTCAATATTGAATATTCAATATTCAATATTCAATATTGAATATTGAATATTCAATATTGAATATTGAATATTGAATATTCAATATTTAATATTGAATATTGAATTGAATATTGAATTGAATATTGAATTGAGTTAAATATTGAATTGAATGGAATATTGAATTGAGTTAAATATTGAATTGAATGGAATATTGAATTGAGTTAAATATTGAATTGAATGGAATATTGAATTGAGTTAAATATTGAATTGAATTGACTTTTTTCAGGCAATCTCTACAATATCTAAAAGTTTATCGATACCAGTAGTAGCCAACGGTGATATTAAAACATTAGGAAATTATTTATTTCAAAACTGAAAATATGAATCAATTATATCAAAAGAATTATCGATGAAGATTTATTAAAAATTATATCAATAAGTTGAAATATGGGTTTAAGATGATGTGAACAGAGTTCATGAAATAACAGGATGTAAAGGTAGAACTATTCTTCATACTTCTTCTTGGGGGCTGCGGGAAGACATGCCAAACAATTTTGCAAAAAGCATAAATATAGCTTTGATTGTTTATCAAGTAGGGTGGGGGGGGGGGTGTTTTTAGAAGAAAGGGAAAGTAAATCGGAAAAATGTTCAACTACTTTTGACATATTTTTAGTAATATTCATTATTCATTACTATTTTTTATTTATCATTTTTAAATTATTTTAAATAAAACTTAAATTTTGCCAAGTGAATTTACATATTCAAAGCTCCTAGGGCTTTCCAGTGTTTTTATTTTTCATCATAATAAAGAAAAAGTAAAATAGAATTATTTCTCTTTTTTATTGCAAAATTATCCGACTTCTGACTAGTGACAACACGCTGTACAGGTTAAAAGAGGCTGGATTTTAAATATTCACTTTTAACTTCTTTGTTATAACGAGTTTTAAACTTCAGGAGTTATGTCGGCCCGAGGTATGCTGGAGAATCCAGCAATGTACGCTGGATATACATCAACTCCATTACAGGTATACTGGAGAATCCAACAATGTACGCTGGATCAATGGATATACATGAACTTCAATACAGGTATACTGATGATGATGTAAAATGTAGTCAAGGATAATAATGAGGCTTGACATGATAACCATGATGGTTAGTTTGATGTTTATTATGAAGTAATAAAAGATAACCGGAACTGGAAATCCGGTATGAGCTGGATTTGAGAGTAAGGGGGGTGTAAGCTGTAATCATCTGAAATAGATAAATTTACTATTTATTTTAGTGTGTATCTGATTGGGTGAGAATATCTTTAGAGCGTGGAACCCCGTTTACCACCTTCCATCATCATCTTATATATATGCTGGACAAACTTCTACCCAGGTACTAAATATTTGTGCACATTATTTACAATATCAATTCTGATTAAGGCCGTCAACCCCATAATGTTAATCTTCAGAGCTAAACGTAGAACCCTCGTAAAATCAAAATTAATATGGGTTGCTCCTTCTTCATTTACTTCCTTGATGTCCCAATCAAGGTGGTCTCGTTAAGTTAATTGGTTTAGGATTTTGAAAACTCCATTTTCTCAAAAACGGATTTTCATCGGATTTGTTTGTAAGTTAATTTAGTTTTAAGTCAATCTTTAAAGTGAATGCAAGCGTGTTTTATTTGACCCTCTATGTAAAGATGAAAATGTCTGATTTACAACAGTACCCTTGAAATCTTTATCTGATCAAACTGTCGTGTTTATCACTCGAAAAGTTTTTTCTGTGAGTTTCATTTATTAGCAAGAAATGCGCAATTCACTTCCGCTGAGAAACCACAATTGAAAATAAACTGCCTAAAGAAAGAGAAACATTGACAAAGTTTTTAAGGATACCATTGTAAATCGGTCATTACCATCTTTGCGTGTATGGTCATAAAAAACTAGGTGTATAGTCCCTGAAAACCTGTTTCGCTGCCGGATTAAAAACTATCTATTTTAGAGGAGATCGAAGACTGTTTAACTCCCTAGCATCAACCTCCGCTGTAATTGACTTCTTAAGGGATACAATTCATCCAGACATTGGCAGAAATGTCAAAATCAATTTATGATCACTAGGTGTCGTTCCAACATAATTCTTGAAAATAACTTTGTTAACATTTTTAAATCGTATTTTTTGATTTTCAGAAAAAATGAATTTCAGACAAATACTTAAATTTTCAAACCTACAAAACGTTCACACAAGGAAAGATTTTTTATTGAAGAATTGCATTTTTCTTTCTTGATTAAACTTAATGTTTTTATAGGTTTTCGCGTGCTGTCATCTTTGGGTATAGTGAAGAAATTATCCCAAGTAAACCATTAAGACGTGTGTCGGGTTTTGGATGTCTAAAAGTTCTTTTAGTGGTAGGTCTTTCAACTTCTATATTTTCCAGACAATTCTAAGAAATAAGGAATTATTCTAAATGGTTTTTTCTGTTATGAGTTAACATTTGTCTTCAAAAATGTTTTTTTCAAACAAAAATAAATGTCCCTGGTACTAAATTATGTTTTATACCATTGTAGAATTCTAAACGTAGATTGTACAAATGACTTGTTCAGGCTGGATCTGGTATGTACCTTGGAGCACAGATTGCAATCCGTATGGTACAGTTCCTTGAACACACACAAATATTTGCCGTTGAGGATGATGATGATGATTAAACAATACGAAAACGAGAAATAAAAGATGAAATTCGTCAATACCACGAAATACGATGATAGCCAGTCTTAAAGATAGAAAAAGCTTTCAAGAGGTTTTTTGATATGTCGGTTCTTCTAAAGAAAATATATTTTATTGGTTTAGCTTTAAACATTAAAAATTTATTAGAAATACCTCTAAAGTTCTATTTACATGCCTCTTACCTATTGTGATACAATGTGATTGAAACGATTAAACAGTACTTAATGTAAAGATCACTTGACCTTTAACTCTTAAAATCAATTCTCTAGATTTCCAAACTGGTTTTACAGTTTAAACATGCTCAAAGAGCTCAAGTGATGTATTATTCTAAACCTGTAATATGCTACAAATGCCTCAGAACTTCGCTCTGCTCAATTATTTAAGCTTTTTTTGCATTAGTCACTAACAAATATTATAAAGTAGATATTCTCGCTAGAAGTGGGAGTCGTTCTTGGTATAGACAAAGTTTTAACCAATGAATTTTTCACGATTTTTGTTTACGACAGGAGAGGTTTAAAATTTAAAAATCGCACATTTTTAAGTACTACGACGTAAGAATACTAGGAACAATTTGTCTGAATGGAAATATCAATAACGATCCCATCTCTATCCGTCATCTATCTATAACCATGTATTTATTCCAAAATATATTTCTCTATTCGTAGTGTACATAGAGTATATCATATGAAATCAAATCAAATAAAAATTAATAAGGAAAACGTTTTTCAGGATGATCGAAGACGACTTCAGGTTGAAGCTGCGGAGAGGAGATTGCAGCAGCAGGAAGTAAGTCAACACAGAGAAATAGACATTTTTTTCAAAGCTCTTGATATAATAAATTAAAAATTGTAATTACTTGCATTTTACCCCTCCGCCTTAATTTTTTTTTCAAGAACTTTGATATTAAAATTGTTAATAATTTGATTTAATAACCCCTTAAAAAATGTCTTCTGAAATTTAAAGATATATTATATTATTTAGACAAGGGGGTTGAAAGAATATAGTAGATAGGAGATAATATTATATTGTTTAGACAATTGACATAAATTAACTGTAAATTTATTACTCAAACAAGTTTTAAATATACGCTGCTTAGTTTTATCTCTTTTAAATATACATTTGAATCTAAACACTCGCTGGGGAGACCTCAGCCATGCAATTTGTGCTCGATTACTGGCTAAATTTTGCATGGAGGAGGTCCAAAAGTGTGGCATGGCTCAAATTTGGTCGTGTGACAAGGAACTTCGCGCTTTACAGTAAACTGTTGATGAGACCTTTTCTTAAAAATAGGAAGAAGTCCAGACTGAAAAACCAGGACACGGAAAGGACTTGAACCTCCAATCCACTACTGGAGTCCATTGTCATCCCCGCCCTTTGTGATTTGATTTGATTTGAAGGAACCTAGTAGTTTGGAGAGAATATTATATTGTTTAGACAAGGGGATTGAAGGAACCTAGTAGATTGGAGAGAATATTATATTGTTTAGACAAGGGGATTGAAGGAACCTAGTAGGTTGGAGATAATATTATATTGTTTAGACAAGGGGATTGAAGGGTCCTAGTAGATAGGAGATAATATTATATTGTTTAGACAAGGGGGTTGAAGGAACATAGTAGATTGGAGAGAATATTATATTGTTTAGACAAGGGATTGAAGGAACCTAGTAGATTGGAGAGAATATTATATTGTTTAGACAAGGGGGTTGAAGGAACATAGTAGATAGGAGATAATATTATATTGTTTAGACAAGGGGGTTGAAGGAACCTAGTAGTTTGGAGATAATATTATATTGTTTAAACAAGGGGATTGAAGGAACCTAGTAGGTTGGAGTGAATATTATATTGTTTAGACTAGGGGATTGAAGGAACCTAGTAGGTTGGAGATAATATTATATTGTTCAGACAAGGGGATTGAAGGAACCTAGTAGTTTGGAGAGAATATTAAATTGTTTAAAAAAGGGGATTGAAGGAACCTAGTAGGTTGAAGATAATATTATATTGTTTAGACAAGGGGGTTGAAGGAACCTAGTAGGTTGGAGAGAATATTATATTGTTTAGACAAGGGGATTGAAGGAACCTAGTAGATTGAAGAGAATATTATATTGTTTAGACAAGGGTATTGAAGGAACCTAGTAGATTGGAGATAATAATTATATTGTTTAGACAAGAGGGTTGAAGGAACCTAGTAGATTGGAGAGTAAACAGAAGGAGATGGAAAAATATTCAAGGTGAAATCAACTTTTATTCAAACCAGGAAATAAATATTTTTTAACACTTTTCCTAATTTTTAATTATTAAAAAAGATTTGTATCGTTGTTTCCCTATACCCATAAGTATTTAATCAATATTGAAAATATTTTAGATTTACTTATTTCAGAATTGCACAAGAGAGAGGAGGAGAAGCACCAATGAAGGTTAGCATTTTTACGTATTTTAAAGGGATTGTTCAAGAAAAAAGTTAGGATTGGATGAACTAAATCTAAATAAGAAACTCGATTTTACCATTTTAATTATTTTACTTATTTTTTCAAATTATTTGTTTTAAACTGTTTTAACGGATTCCGATGATGCTTGGTCTATGCGACAAGATAGGAAGCACCGCTAGAGAAGTGATTTGCGGCATTTTGAAAACAAAATTATTCCTATTTCATATATGCCATTATAAGAATTAAATTAGTCTTTCGTGAACACCCCTTTTGTAAGATTCATCAGATGCAATAAGTAATCAAAGTTGGAATTTTAAAAATTCTATTTTAATTGAAAATCCTGTTTCAGTGGCAGGTTGGATAGTTCACAGCGATGCCGTGGCTGTAAGAAAAAGTCGAGCTTCAGAAACAGTTCCGAAATCCTCAAAACTAAGTCAATACAAATGGAATGCAAAAGTTTTATTATATTTTATTAAAAAATTGTTAGAAAATCGAAAAATTTATAATAGTGTGCTCTAATTGCCTTAAATTGAAATAATGTCTATGTACAAGAAATCTATTTGATGCAAATACTCGTGATTTATCAATGAAATGAAATCTTTTAATTTCAGAGAGATAAAGGTTGAAAATGACGGAAACAGAGTTGCAGGAGGAGGTATGTTTCTGGTTTACGATCAACTTTAGTGCTAGTTGGCGCTACTTGTTAAAAAAAATAATGATGATAAATCATTTAAAAGAATTTAGATTTTAGCTGACAAATTTTTATAGTCAATTTCCTTCAAGCTTTTATTACAAAGAAGCTAAAAACCCACAACCAGTCTTTAAAACAAAGTTCAAATGGGAAATGACGAAGAAATCATAATTTCCCCGTTTAGTTGAAGCTACCTGAGAAAGGGTCGAAGGTAATTTTTTTCCGAGGACTTGTTGACAGCTTTCTTGAGAGAGAACAGTATGCTTCTGCTTTATTTTGGGCAGATAAACTAGGTGAGAACTTTTTTAACGTTCGTATCAATGTCTAGGATTTTATCTCCCCGAAGGATTTAAATTCCCCGCAATTCTTGATCTAAATGACCAAATAGCATTCAAAATATTTTCAATTAGTCATTTTAAATTTTGAGTAACCTTAAAAGTTAAAAGTTTATCCCCCCCCCCCCAAAAAAAAAGTTCCTGAATCCTAATGTCTGTATGATTTAACAGTTTTAGCTTAACAATTTTTGAAAGAAATAAAAGAAACTTTCGAAAAATTATGGTTTGTAAAAGAATTAAAAAACTTTGATTAATTTTTAAACTGAATCGGATCCAGGATTCGGAACTTTATCAAACTGGAATGGATCCTAATCAATGATTTTTATTGATAACACAAGGAATGAGAAAAATAATCTTGTTATATTTAGTGACCCTGTCAACAGAAATGGATGATATTTATCTGCTTGGACGAACACTAATTCTATCCAAACATTATCACAGGTCTTCTTAAAAAATTAAAGTTGTTCTTTTCCTCTTTTGTTTCTCCAAGAAATTTTATTTACTCTCTTGTTTTTAAATAAATTTTCCGACCAAACCCTTATTTTTCATTTTATTTCTATCGTTCTTCTACACTTATTGTTTTACTACTTTCTCGTTTTCTTTAAACTTTTATTTTTCAACTTTTTACTACAGTCAGCAAACTAGACAGCTCCTCTACTTTTGAATTCACACTGAAGTATGAATCCGATTCAACGATGTTTTATTATATTTTAGGGCAGAGCATCTTATTACAAGTAGGAAGCTTCAGAGTAAACATCTTGGCTGCTGCTTCCTAGCTGTCAAAGCATACCAGTATCTTGGTAAATAATTCTAGAATTTTATTTTCATATTCCAAATTTGTTCTTCTTGGCTACAAATTGGTTCAATTGGTTGGTTGGATAGATGTTAGGAATATTAGCTGGTTTTTTAGGGTAGTTGATTTGATTGGATCAATTTGATTTAACTTCTGATCTGATTTGGTTTGGTTTGATTTGATCAATTGGTCGATTAATTGATTTGTTTTTGGATTGTTATTTTGATTAAATGTTTGGATGAATGATTTTTTGGTTTTTTAATAGTTTGATTCAAATAGATTGGCAGGTACAATAGATGGCAACGTAGAATTGGTGCACTCTCAGTACAGCTTTATTCTTACGCCAGAAGTGTCAACTTAGTTTTTGTTTCCGACAAAATCATTAATAATAATGATTTTAGAATAAAGTGCGTATCTTACAGTGAAATAAGTGCAATTATATGTTGTTCTTTATTTCCTGTTTTTACACTTTTTTATTTAATCCTAGAAAACATGGAAATAATGTGAGAAAATTTTGTTTTCCTTGGTATATTTGACACTTGTGACGTCTTGTATCATTGGTCCATTTCTCTGTTGCCACCTATTGTACTTGATAAACTATTTGATTTGATTGATTGATTGTCTGATTGTTTGATAAGGCTTTTTTCTTCTTGGCTGTAATAATAACTTGGCAAGTGGTTTGTTAGGTAGTTGTTTGATTTTTGAAGGTGTTAGCAAACTTTGTTTGTGGATTATTAATATAGTATTTGATCGGATTAGATTTGATTTGTTTGTTTGATCATTGGGACGTTTCAATAGATGTTTTATTGGTTGTTCTCCTAATACATTTATCGGTGGATTGAATGTCTGGATTATTCAGTTGATGGGTTGTTCGATTGTTTAGTGTGTTTGTTATCTGGTTGATTTGTTGTTTTAACATATTGGTTGATTGATTGATTGATTTTCAGGTAATGAAGCTGCTGCGCTTGAGTTGCTTGAGAGTCCTGAAACAGAAAAAATGATGGAGGAGGAGACAAAACTTCTGAACAGGAAAACATTCAATTAATCATCCTTTATATTTATTTCGTTAAGGAGGAACAAAGAGGGCAGTTGTAAATTTTTTTTAAATCACAATTTTCATATGCTAGGGATTTTCATGTAGGTTAATTGATTGATTAACCGATTGATTGAATTGATTGATCAGTGAGGATTACCGGCGGAAAAGTCTGCTAAGCAGTTTATATTGTTTAAAAGGATCAATTCTAGAAAATATAGAGAATAGGGAGCTAGCAGCTCAATCATTTAAGGTTAGAGAGATGTTTTGTTAGAATTATCATATTCTACTGTAAGATTACTTATTTGTGACCAAGTTGATAACGTTTTTGGGTTTGTATTATAATTAACAGTTATCTTAATTTTCATTTGTTATCTTATTTCTTATTAGCCATGAACCTAAATATTGTATTGGGCCTGGGTTGGGGGTTTTGTCAGTGTTACCTTTCTACGCAATTTTAAACATCAACCACCCTTTTATAGTCACCTTATAGTTTCTGTATTTCTATTTCAATCACTAAGATTTTTTGTTTAGAATGCGTTGCATGTTGATGTTTATTGTTATGAAGCTTTACAGGTAACTTTTTTAAAAATAAATTTTAACTTTTTTTAAATGATTAAAATATGCTTTTTTTCAGGCACTAATAGAACACCAAATGCTGAACGCACAAGAAGAGAAAAATCTCTTAAATTCACTATTTTCCGAGGTAAAATATCTTTCAAGGTGGAAATATTCTTGTTCTGGACCGTGCACTGCGCACAGTGCCAAATGGGAAAATAACAGTTTAAAAATTAGCTGCTTTAAAATTGTCACTATTGCACATTTCGCATGTTACTACTTCATAATTGGGAAGTTGCAAGTAGAGAAATTGTACAAATGGCAAGTTGCAACTTGGAGAAATGCCCTTGCGAGTTTTACATTTTTAGAAAACGGTGTTGGGAAAGTATTCAAGTTCCAACATCAGCTCCACAGTCAGAACCAATATTTGTCTATTCATCACACCATAACAAACTACTACATATACTTACTCTACGTGTTTGAATAGGAAAACTCTGAAGCTAGATTGATCAAATGTTTATACTCCATGAACTTGAAAAAATACGATTGTCCGGAAACACCAGTTTTTCCATCAGGCACACAATCAGTTTTTTTCAGTAAAAGCATTTATTTACAAATATTTGTTGAGTAATCAGTAACTAATTTTGTATAAAAGTTGAAGCAAAATTAATTGTAATTAAACATGCGCTTTTCCTTCTTAAAATGAAAAAAAAAAAACTGTGCGACTAGAACTCAAAATGTTCGAGAATAACTCTGATGTTAGAGTTTCAATGGCGGAGAGATTATACTACAATTGTGAACATATAGGTAGGATTATCATTCATCAATCCAAAACGGAAAACAATGTTTAAAAATCCAAGTTATAAATGTTCTTGTGGAAATATTGTGAGAGAAAACGGATTTGATATTTCAGCTGCATATAATATAACAAGTCAAGTACTACGAGATGAACCCTTGCACACTAAATGTATCCCTCTGCATGTAGCTCTACTGGTTGATATGAAGAAAACGAACCAATTGTTCCGGTTAGCACATAGGTATACTCAATTCATTAGTCAACCATGAAAACATAGTTCAATATTCTAGTCAACTAACTCAACCGTAAACAATAAACTTTTCATAAAATTCGTAAATGGAACATTAGACAGATATGACCTAACAAAGATAGGACATTACAAAGATAGGACATAACAAAGATAGGACATAACAAAGATAGGACATAACAAAGAAAGGACATAACAAAGAAAGGACATAACAAAGATAGGACANTGTTTCCAATCAATTTTACCACCTTCTCTCATTGGTCCTGCAGGGCAAAGCTGAATTATATCCTGTTTCCAATCAATTTTACCACCTTCTCTCATTGGTCCTGCAGGGCAAAGCTGAATTATATCCTGTTTCCAATCAATTTTACCACCTTCTCTCATTGGTCCTGCAGGGCAAAGCTGAATTATATCCTGTTTCCAATCAATTTTACCACCTTCTCTCATTGGTCCTGCAGGGCAAAGGACTGCTTTCTGTCTGATGTCGACGAAAACTCATCTTTTTCAATGTCTATGTGCAATATCCTATCTTTAAATTGTCTAATTCATGAAAAATCTATCAACAAAATGTCCCAAGATACCCTATCTTATTAAGTTTGGTTGACCAGTATCCTGAGTGGAGTGTTGCCTGGTATGCTGTTGGATGCTATTACTACAATGTCGGAAAACAAGATAATGCGAGAAAGTAAGTTTTAAAAGAATTGCATTGTCAATCATCATCACACTAGTCCTCGATCTTGCTTAAAGTCTAGACCTCCTTTTTTACTAAACATTTATTTTGTTTCAAAAGTATAGAGAATAAATCTATTTAGCCTATTTGTATTTTTAAATCCAATAAACGACCAAACTGCTAAACCGATATTAGGCCAAATTTTGAGGGAACTTGCAGTGTATCAATTAAAAAAAATTTTTATAAAATGTTATTTCTTTATTTTTATAACTCATCAATGCGATGTTAACAGAAAAAATCGCAAAATTTTGTTAAATAATGTACGAAGGATAAAGTTACTGCTTTGAAAAACAACATTTTGAAAGTGATATTGCTGCTTGAAAAATGGGCTTGAAGCTGCCTAAAAGCCAAGTATAATCGATTTATCTGAATTCGATGCAAGGTACCTGAGTAAAGCTACACAACTGGACAGAATGTTTGGACCTGCTTGGCTTGCCTACGGACACAGCTTTGCTTTAGAAAATGAACATGATCAAGCAATGGCGGCATATTTTAAGGTATCTTTATATTATTAGTAATTCAAGTCTATTCTTTCTCAAGCAGCTGATTACGTCCCAATTTTATTATTTAATAAGAAAAGATCACACAGCTTCTTTATGTTGTTTTAAAGCAGGATTGTGTATTGTGTAATTGTATAAATGTATACAGCAGGCCGCAGGGGGTGTATAATATACACTGTATATTTTCATAAATGTTTCCCTCTCCTCCTGTTTTTAAACTTTTTTTACCAGAAGTTAGGTATTGTTACGCGGAGCGCTTAAAATAAGTTTTGGGGTTTTCTTCGCTAAATTGATTTTAGGGGGTTATTGTCTAATTTTGTGGAAAACAATAAAAATAAAGTGCGAAAAGACTTGGCTGTTTAATTTGTCAGTTTTCCCCCAATTTATCCACAAGAAATTCTCAGTCGAAACATTTTTCGAAGTGTCCTTCCTTATACATATGAATATAAAATCCCCCCCTGTAATTTTCTAAAAAATAATAACACCAATCAATGGTATACACTAGTATACAGTGTATTTATATGTCTAGGCTTGTCAACTGATGCATGGTTGTCATCTACCTCTGCTATATATAGGACTAGAGTATAGCCTCACAAACAATCAGAATTTAGCGGAAAAATTCTTCAACCAGGTATTATCTCAAATTGTTAATGAAAAAGAAATATTTTTGATCTTTATTATTTTTTTCAGGCTCTGTCAATAGCCCCAAACGATCCTTTTGTTCTACACGAACTGGGAGTAACTGCTTTCACAAATCAGGTTTGTTTCTATTTGTTTTCTGAAAAAAAATTATAAAACATTGAACAACAAAATTAAACATGATTTTTCATCACTTTTGACATTAAAAAATAACATGTCAATTATGTTCAATGTTTAAAAATATTTCCCGCTGTGAAACCCATGAAATACTGCTGTTTCAAACTGGTCCGATGATACTTGGTTTGATGTTTCTATGGTCGTCAGTAAGGACCCTGATAGCGAGGATACTTTTCACGATACTGAAACAGGACTCGATTTGATTTGATTTGATTTGATTTGATTTGATTTGATTTGATTTGATTTGATTTGATTTGATTTGATTTGATTTGATTTGATTTGACGGTCCTTTAAAGGAGTTGAAACATCAAAATGACTGTATTTTTTGTAGGACTATGATACAGCTGAGAAGTATTTTACAACTGCTCTGCTCAAGATTAAGCAGGTCAAGGATCAGAACGGAGTTTCAACAGGTTTGTATTCAATTTATCTTTACACTTAAAAATTAATCTGTCCGTTCCTTATTACTTTTGGTAGTCTTTTAACACTTTCAAGTAAATTCGACATTCAAAAAGTATCTGATCCTGTACAAAATACGACAAAAATATTAAGTATTCAGAATAAACTCTTGGTTACAATGATATAATGTAAAATCAACATCATCTTTGTATTTATTAAGGATTGGCAGATAAATGGGAATCCTTACTCAACAATCTGGGGCACACGCTCAGGAAGCAGGGCAGGTATTACACAGCTAAATTTATGTTTATATTCTCTGTACAATTATACAGGAAGCTAAGCAGTTATATATCAAGCACTGTAAAACAGATAACTTTAGGTACACATTTCTGTACAGTACACTGTAAAGAGAGCATCCTTGAAAATTGTACATATTCTGTATTTGTACTGTAAACTAGGAAGGTAAACATTAAGTACATATTCTGTACCATGTTATAGAAGTAGGGAAAGGCAAATTTTGTTCTCCAAGTTATTTAGAATTTTATGCTCCATACAAATTCGGTTGAAGTAATTGAGATATTAAAAGTTCTTTAAATATGAACTGCCCGTAATTAGTACCTAATAGATTATCAAGTACAATAGGTGGCAACAGAGAAATAGACCAATTATACACAACGTCACAAGTGTCAAATATAACAAGGAAAACGAAGTTTTCTCACAGTAGTTGACATGTTTTTTAAGATTAAATAAAAATGTGCAAAAACAGAAAAAAAATGTGCTTATTTCAAGCACTTTATTCCAAAATTATCGCTTATTAATAATTTTGTTGGACACAAAAACTGAATTGACACTTGTGATGTCAGAATACGACTGCACTTAGAGTGTACCAATACTACGGTGCCATCTATTGTACTAGAATTCATTTGTAAAGTAACAACAAGAGTGGGAAATCAGCAACCAATCCTTATCTTTTGTCTTCTGGATGTATTCAAATTTGGCATTTTAGTGAAATATGTATCACCGGTTGTGAAAATATCCCGCCTTTTCTTGATATTTTATCTGCAGAATGACCAGCCTGCCATTTTTAAAGCCAATTTTTTATATGCGCTCATCTGGAATTATAAGTTTTGAGCGATCAAAAAACCTAAATAATATAATATTAAAATCTTTATACAATAGTCATTTACTTACTTATGTTTTAAATATATCCATCCTAGAATTTTCCAATCTAGAAAAAGGTTAGAGTTTAAAATATTTATATTTTTCTTTTGTTAAGTTTTTTCAGTTTAAAATTAGTGCATAATAAAAGAATCTTTAAGCTTGTTTGAACAGTATTAATATGCAGAGGATCCCTAACTTTTTAGAATAAAAGTAAATAATCACACAAGGACTTACGTTGGCAACATCCAGGCTAGACTTCTCCTGTCAAATGATGCTTTTCCTATATAGTTGAGTCCTTGAACCTTGATTAGTTGAGTCCTTGATCCTTGATCCTTGATTAGTCGAGTCTTTGATCCTTGATTAGATGAGTCCTTGATCCTTGATTTGTTGAATCCTTGATTAGTTGAATCCTTGATCCGTTTAGAGGTGGATCCCGAATCCTTGATCAGTTGAGTCCTTGATCCTTCTTGTTTAAATACCGATCAGTCCTCATTATCACTTTAACCTGCACAGTTTTTTAAATGTTTAATTTTTGCCTTTTTCGGACTATGCTCAAGTATTAATGCTCAAATTTACGCTATTTTATCAATGTTTATAAAAGTTATTTTTGACCTTTAAGGTTAGGAGAATATCCAAAACTCATGCCGATTGTCCTTGCATAATCACTCTGAAACATTAATATCTCAAATATTTAAGAATAAAATAAGTTTTTACTTTTAGTTTTAAAATTGTGAGTGGTGAATCACAAAAGGTTCTTCAAAGTTCCAAGAGCTCATCAGTGTCTGGTTGTTCTAGCACATGTTTCTGTTCACTTCACCTTAACATGGGGTTTATTATTTTTACACCGGTTCAGTTCTGCATACAAACTACATATTTAGGTATGAAGAATCCTTGAGCTATCACCAACAAGCTCTAGTTCTATCTCCTCTGAACCCTTCAACTTACTCAGCAATAGGATATGTGCAAACACTCATTAAGGTAAAGTGTTTAATGAACCAATTATATATTGGTTGATCTGGAGTAATGTGTACTGAGTACTGATATAACCTAACCTGACTCATTCTTTTTATATCCCGACTCATTCTCTTTATATCCCGGCTCATTCTCTTTATATCCCGACTCATTCTCTTTATATCCCTACTCATTCTCTTTATATCCCGGCTCCTTATCTTTATATCCTAAATCATTCTCTTTATATCCCGACTCATTCTCTTTATATCCCTACTCATTCTCTTTATATCCCGGCTCATTCTCTTTATATCCTTCATTCTCTTTATATCCCTACTCATTCTCTTTGCATCCCGACTCATTCTCTTTATATTCCCACTCATTCTCTTTATATCCCGAATCATTCTCTTTATGCCCCTACTCTCGACTTGACTTGTTGTTTGTTTTAAATAATTGATTATGTGACTTACCGTCAATGATATTAAAAAAATAACTAAATAGAGATTTGTAAAAAACATCTATTTATTATAATTGTTTTGAATAGGATCTAACGTCAGCTGTCGAGTCCTTCCACAGAGCTTTGGGTTTAAGAAAGGATGATACTTTCAGGTTTTTATTATTTCAGATTCTTTTTCATCCATTTGAAAAATTTATTTGTTTTATTGATTTCTGTTGCTTTGATGAATTACTTAAATGATAGACATGTTATATAATTTAAATAAATCTACAATTAATTCATGCTCTTATTCATTCACCAAATTGATTTCAATCATCATTTTTTTCATGCATTTATCCATCTTATTTAAAACTTTCTATCTTTTTTATAATATCTATCTAACTTTCTTTTTGTTTATCTACTTCTATATAATAAATCAAGACATATGTATATATATATATGTTGCGTATAGCCGCCACAACGGCTGGACCGATTGGGCTAAAAAAAATTTGGGGAGACTCAAGAGTTATAGGGGGTGTCATCGATTTTTTTTCAAAAATTCTATTTTAAAAAAAGTTCCACGGGCGACGCAGGGCATATTAGCTAGACTGTTATATATCATCTATATATCCATCAATCTTTCTAGTACGAGTATGCTTAATGAGGTGGTTGAGCGGCTCATGTCTGAGGTTGATCCTTTCCCAGACTATCCTGAAGATATTCCTAGGTATTCATTCATTTATTAATCCTGTCATTCATTCATCCTTTTATCCTTTCCCAGACTATCCTGAAGATATTCCTAGGTATTCATTCATTTATTAATCCTGTCATTCATTCATCCTTTTATCCTTTCCCAGACTATCCTGAAGATATTCCTAGGTATTCATTCATTCATTAATCCTGTCATTCATTCATCCTTTTATCCTTTCCCAGACTATCCTGAAGATATTCCTAGGTATTAATTCATTCAGTCATTCAGTAATCCTGTCATTCATTCATCTTTTTATCCTTTTCCAGACTATCCTGAAGATATTCAATTATTCATTCATCTTTACCTTCATTCATTCATTTATTCATCCTCTCCTAGGCTATCCTGAAAATATTTCTAGGTATCATTTAATCATTCATTTATTCATGTTTTCTTTAATCCTTTCTCAGACTATCCTGAAGATATTCCTAGGTATTCATTTATTCATTCACCAATATCTTGAAGTTGTAGCTAGATCATCCAGTCATCCAGATCTCAATTAGTTAATTGATGGTTCTTAAAACCAAGAGTTCGTTTATGTAGGTTTGAATGTAGAGCTGACTATAGAGTGCAGACACCACTAGACACTGTAGAGACAACAAGGTATTTATAGACAAATAAACATTATAGACATATTAATAGAAGATACTAGACACTGTAGAGACAACAAGGTATTTTATAGACAAATAAACATTATTGACATACTAATAGAAGATACTAGACACTGTAGAGACAACTAGGTATTTTATAGACAAATAAACATTATAGACAAAACCTTAGCAGATGCATCCAATCTATCCAATTGCATATACATACAAATCAGAATCATGAAATCAAATGAAATTAAACTTAATATTTTGCTGAAAAAGTTCGATCAGGCAATTGAAAGTATAACCTCTCCTCAATTTAGATTGTGAAATGGAAGATGTATAGAAGCTGTATTCAGATAAACATCGTCAGCAACTAGAATATCAGCCGCCAGCAGAAATGAACCTTTTCAACACCTGCTAAATCATGTGTCAGCTCCTGAAAACATTTGCCAGAATTCAAATCTTGTGTCAGAGTAACAAATTAAGTGTAAAACATGTGACATGATTACTATGTTGAGCAGTAGCACATATTCCATGACAGTGTATACGGATCTCAACCATTTTATAGCACATAATACCAGGTTTAAACTAAATGACCTGAACATGTGTTTAGAATCTTTTTCCAGGATCTGAAACCTCGATTTCTATATTTGTTTATTTCAAATAACAAGTACTACTATGATACTTTCATTTTCATTGAACTAGATAATATTTAGAAATGCAAGAAATTCTGTTTTTTTTTCAAAAAAAATAGTTCATTACTCAGAAGAATAGTTTATTACTCAGAGAAATAGTTTATTACTCAGAAAAATAGTTTATTACTCAGAGAAATAGTTTATTACTCATTTAATGAACCATTTATATATTGGTTGATCTGGAGTAATGTGTACTGAGTACTGATATAACCTAACCTGACTCATTCTTTTTATATCCCGACTCATTCTCTTTATATCCCGGCTCATTCTCTTTATATCCCGACTCATTCTCTTTATATCCCTACTCATTCTNTATTACTCAGAGAAATAGTTTATTACTAAAAGAAATATTTTATTACTATGATTAAAAGTTTGTGTTCAGTGCAAAAGTTAATTCTGAAAAGAAATCTTTCTTAAAGTTGTTTTATGCTGTAATTTTGTATTTAAACTGTAAGTACCTTAGTACCTGACAATTTTGTATGTAGATTGTTGAATGTAAATGCACCGCAGATAAATTCAATGATAAATGATTAATTCATATTTTTTTTGGTTTCAGAAAAATGATTTTATCCCCCTGACTTCTAACCTTAAACTAGGATCACTCCGACAATACTGATGAATTTAAAATTATTAATTTATTTTAAACTAAAATAAACCGATCTATCCAAGTATGGGAGATATTCTACTATTTGCTCTCTCCCTGGTAGATACTGGAGCTCTCATATTCATCCTTGTCTTCTTTATTATTACACTCTCAGGTAATCAACACAGTCATTTATTGTCGTCTTCGTTATTTCTTGTGATTATAAATGTCTTGATTGTGTACTCAACATTTTTGATGAGCTATACACAGAGCTAGGAATACAAATTCTTAAGTTGCTGTTCTAATTAAAAGAAAGAACGAAGACAACATTTCTCCTGTTTTTGTGTTAAAGCTATTTCAGAATAAAGCATTGATTCGTTACATATACTTGAGGATGTACTGTACAGTGTGCATTGTACTTAACGCGTAATTTTACAACAAAAAATAATCAAGTCCACTAGGGAAGTACCCACCTATTGTGCTTAAGAAATGGAGTGTCTGGCACAACAAAATTGGTGGGAACGTCAAAGTGGCAACATGACATACATTTGGTTGTGTGCTTGCTGTGATCTTCATAATCTGAGAAACATTTATTTTGTTTTGAAAACATACCTTTAAACCGCGTAGGGTCTGATGACTGAAAGCAAAATTAAATATAACCAACAATTTTGGGTAAAATCGGGCTGAAAACCCGGAGTTTGAAACTTAAATCTTTAAGAAGGATGCCTTTAAAAGCAATCTCTTGAAGTATGATTTGATCTGGTCTGATCTGGTCTGCAGTCTGCAGTCTGCAGTCTGGTCTGGTCCGATCCGATCTGATCTGTTGATAATCGAAAACAAACTCATTTCTTCGTCCCCTCGTTAGAGTACATTTTCGGTGAAAATCAACAAGTTTTGTTTAGATCTTGAGTGTGACTACTTAAATGCTCAGGAGTGCTGCGGAAGACTGAACTTCTGGAATATTCCAAAATTATGGAGTCAGCTGTTACTTCCAATTCTGCTCACACTCACAGGTAGAGATTAACCGGAACTTTTAAACGAGATGAAGTTGAGCTAAATAGTTTTAACTTGACTGTAACTTTTCGGTAATTTATTCATATTTAATAAATTTTGTCAGCTATTGCATTTTAAACTTCCTGATTTCTCATTGGTTAACTCTTGTTTGCCAATAATAAACGGATTAAAGAGATAGATGCCTATGAAAGTTTTGGACCCAGGGAAAAGCATTTTTTACTTAATTGTTAGGAATACACTAAATTTATTTTTTACCTTATTCCAGATCTTAAGTTTATAATTTCATCCCATTCATTAAAAAACGGTTTAGGGTTTTTTTTTATTTAATTGTATAAATTACTATTCGACAGAACTTTTACTTACAAGTTTTTTTTACCTTTCTTGTAAATTACCCACTGATGAATGTTATTCAGCGTTAAACCCCTTTTATGCTTTAGTGTTTATGGAAATAGAACAAAAATTATTAATTAATTATTTATGATGTTTAATGTGTTTAATATTTCTAGGACACTGGATGCTAGTTCTGTTAAATCTTCCAATATGTATCTGGTTAATCAGGTAATTGTCAGATTCACAACAACAACCCTTTAATCAGGTAGTTGTCAGATTCACAACAACAACCCTTTAATCAGGTTGTTGTCAGATTCACAACAACAACCCTTTAATCATGTAGTTGTCAGATTCACAACAACAACCCTTTAANATCTAAAGTTTAATATTTTTTTCTTGTGGTTTTGCCTCTAATATGACTTGGGAATCTTATGCAGCGGAGAAAAAAAAAGCGATATTCAACTCTTAAAAAGTTAAAAAGAAGAAGATTTCTTCACAATTGTTGTTCAGATTATTAAGATTGAAAGGGTATGATTGTGTTTCGGGTTTACTGCTCTAATAATGGCAAGTCCCTGGAACAGACGTCTACACTCTACACTACAGTCTCTCTAAATAAATAACTTGATAATTAGTTTCACTTTAATTTATTTTTTATTTCAGGCAGTTTCATTGCATCAGGAGAGGAAATTTAGGTATGTACTTCCAGGATCGTTAAGTTTTTCATTTCATTGTATTCTGACAATTGTTGATAAAGTGAATACTAGTTATTGGACATGTTACACATTTATTAGATTAAGATACTAATTTTATATCAATTGTTTTTAACAACATATGTTGGAGGCTTCATGGCTAATTTAATTTCTAATCCTGGTGGTAATGGGCTTGAAAATAATTTTTGGATGGCAGAAAAAAAGTCTTCCTTTGTAATTTTAGGGCCTACGGTTATTTTGAACTTTATAAATATGCACTGTTTTGTGGAAGGGGGTCGAATCTAAATATTTGTATTAACACAAATTTACAGGATTTTCTTTCCCACTTTTATCTTGGAATTTCATTGATCCCTGACAAAATTGTGTGTGTTGTAAAAAAAAATTGGCGAAGTATATTAACAAATTTGTTGTGGTCTTTAATTTTTGGAGAAGAATTTACAATATTTTAATCATAAAAATTACAATTGTATCCAAAGAGAAGAAAGTCAAGTTTGAATATGTTTGCAATATTTTCTGTATCTGCTAGAGATAATTCAGAGTAGAACTTTCTTCTTGTATGCACGGCTGGTTTCTTCACACTATTCCTAAACACAGGGTAAAATATAGTCTACAAATTGTTGACCCCTTGTTCAGTACATTTTCCTAAGAAAACAGTTAAAATTTCTTAAATTAGTAAATTCATTTGGATTCTGGGGTGGATAGTAGGACATTCCTAACAGCCTGATTTCATTTCATTTCATTAAATTTCATTTCATTTTTCTAAGTAAATGTCTCCGTCTTGAAATCGTTGGTATTTTTGTTAACCACCTTTAGAATTCTATGTTAAATTATTGTCATTATGATCTTTTGATCTTTAAACATGTTTGAAGTTTTTTTTCTTTTATTTTTGTTACTACCTTTAGAATTCTATGTTAAATTATTGTCATTATGATCTTTTGATCTTTAAACATGTTTGAAGTTTTTTTTCTTTTATTTTTGTTACTACCTTTAGAATTCTATGTTAAATTATTGTCATTATGATCTTTTGATCTTTAAACATGTTTGAAGTTNTTTGGAAGATTTGCGATAAATTATCATTATCATTATCATTATCATTATCATTATTAAATTTTAAAAGAAGAATAAATAAATATCAAGCAACTATTTTAAGCAAGTCAACTTTTAACTGGTCGAACAAAGTCTCATAGACTTTTCCAGCTGCTTGCAAAATTATTCGATAAAGTTTTGATTAAACCTTTATCAATGGAGAGCTCTGCGAAAAGCAACTCAGCAATAGGTACGAAGATAAAATGAGAGAATTTTTCTCTATGTTTCTGCGAATAAGATCTTCTATGGTTGATTTATTTTGGTATTGAATAAAGTTGTTAAAAAGAAGAAGACTTGTCCAGCCGTAATCAAAGGGTTTCTATTAGAGAAAAACAATTCCAAACTAGTAAGTCTATAGCGAATGAAATGTTTATTTGAATATTTGAACTTACTCTGATTCCTGGGTCTAGTAAACAGTAGTTTACGATTGTGGTTTGAAATGGAAGAACTGGAGTTTTGCTTATGTTGTCGAAATCCTAAAATAAAATTAATCATGAATCAACAATAATTTTCATTTATTTTTTATAAGCCAATTTTTTTTTACTGTAAAAGAAAAATGTTACCTATTATTAATCTATCCAACGGATGTCTTGTAAACATTATTTTTAGTGTGTTAGAGTCTGGCACTGTTTTCTGACATTCAGTTTTATTCTAGAAATATAATGTTTCACACATAGATTGCCTTTTATCACGACGGGAATCTGGGGGTTCCCTAATGGGGATCTTGCAAGATAATTTTGATTATTATTATTTTAGAATGCATTTTTAATACTTTTATCAAGAGAACGACAACAGATAAATACTTAAGTAATAAAATTATTAAATTGGTTAAAAATATTTGACGGTGCTTACCTTATGACAACTAGTTTGATATGCGGTGTTTAATGTTTCTAAAACTGGTTTAGTTCCCATCCTAGCTGGTAGGCATATTAAAAGGTTTTTAACACCAACCTATAAATATTAAAATACAATTATAATGTTTATTTTAGTTTTATATTTTCTTCTTACCTTTGGCGACTTGAGATAGTAGAATATATCATTTGTCTAATTAGATTTGTATTCAGTGTCAGGTTCTTTTTGAAGGGACCGCAAGCGTAATTTCAAGTGACCCTCCTTTTGTAAATTGTCGTTTCTGATTCATATCAGTTCCCTTAAAATCTTGCTATGATTAAGTTTGTCGGACTTGAGTTCAAAAGTTTTGATGAACTCTTTATTACAAGCTGTTTTATATTTCTAAGTGACAGAAAATGGAAACTGCTCTAACTTGGAATTACGCCCTTCAGTCCTTTAAGTTTATAAAAAAGATGTCGTGAAAATTGTGATTTTAAAGGGTTAATTTGCGAATAGTGCGAGGAACTATTTTTATTCCTAACTAATGTTTCTTTAAAGATAATAAGTGTCTTCCACGTTCCCATTGCACATCTGCAGAGATGTTGAGCTCCTTGGACAACGGATTTATTTTTTCTTTTCTTTAAAATCGGCCAAAGATTTGATTGATATATTCACTATTGGAATATAATTCTCTCGCATTTTCACTGCCCTTAAGATATCTTTAATAGATAGATAGATAGAGAGATGGATAGATACATATAAGGATAGATAGATAGATAGATAAATAGATAGATATTTCAGTTTTTAAACTTCACATTTTATTAGAAAAGAATTCTACTATGATATATTTATGTAGATAGTTGTCTCTCTGTCATGTTAAGTGGGTTACTTTGTATCTTAAACCCCCCTAACTTCTCCATTATTGTAGAAATAATAATTCTATTATCTTTCAACGAGGTTTTAATCACATTTTAATTAGAGTTTAATTCTGTTTATCGACTCATCAATCAGGAGTATGGTTAATGTAATTGATATTGAAGGAAAGCTTGAGGAAAAATTTACAATAATAACAATATTAACAATAAAAACAATTATGAAAGCACATTTTCTAATCGTTCGTTTGTCAAATCCTGAACTTTTTCAGATAATTATTTTTATTCCTGTATCTTTGCAACCTATAATCAAAGTGATTAAATACTAAAGTGGGCCAAACTCATTGTTGGATGACGACATTTTATGTCCCAAGTATTTAGAAATAATATATATATATATATAATATATATATATATATATATAACTGTTTTCACTGAAAAGCATTCCTGATTGGTTGGTTTAATATTGGTAGAATTACAGTAATCATGAATATATTCTGCTTTCTCAAACAAATCCAGTTTCTTCATTTTGGCTGGAGCACGACTGGTTATAATTTAAAAGTATTTAACATTGGTCAAATTCAATGTTTGATTAATTTATGCTTTCTGAAGAAACTTACTCATTAAATCTCTTTCATTTCTTTTTAATTATCCCTAATGGTTATAGTTTGTAGGACTTCTTCAGGGCCTATCAGTATTCTGGATCTAAAATTATCATTACTTCAAGTGAAACCTTCCATTTATAGAGGGGCATGACTGATTCAATGACACAATTTTCAGCTATTTTCATCCTTAATTAGACAAAGTTAAATGGATACCGTTGTAAATCAGACACGCCATTCAACAAATAGATGCCAGGCTCACTTAAATTTTAAAAATCACTAGTGAGAAATAAATTTGAAAGAAACCGTTTAAAAACTTTTTTGTAATAGCACTGGTATTCTATTTTAATTTTCTTTAACAAACATTCCCTCAAAAGAAAGTTTGATTCCATAAAATCAAATGTTGATCAAGTTACCTGAATGTTTGATCAATAGCTATGATGGTGAAAAATAGAAGAATAAATTTGTAGATTATCCAACGTTTTTCCCATACATCCTTCATCCTCTATACCGTATGCGCATACTTATCTAATTGTTATTGTTATCGTTATTGTTACTGTTATTGTTGCTGTTACCTTTACTGTTACTGTCACTGTTTCTGTTATTGTTGCTGTTACCTTTACTGTTACTGTTACTGTTTCTGTTATTGTTACTGTTACTGTTACTGTTACTGTTACTGTTACTGTTACTGTTACTGTTACCTTTACTGTTACTGTTTCTGTTATTGTTACTGTTACTGTTACTGTTACTGTTACTGTTACTGTTACTGTTACTGTTACTGTTACTGTTACTGTTACTGTTACTGTTACTGTTACTGTTACTGTTACTGTTACTGTTACTATTACTATTACTATTATTGTTGCTGTTACCTTAACTGTTACTGTTTCTGTTATTGTTACTGTTTCTGTTACTGTTACTGTTACTGTTACTGTTACTGTTACTGTTACTGTTACTGTTACTGTTACTGTTACTGTTACTGTTACTGTTACTATTATTGTTGCTGTTGCTGTTACTGTTACTGTTACTGTTACTGTTACTGTTACTGTTACTGTTACTGTTACTGTTGTAATTATCTTCATTAACCTTAATTATATCATTTGTATCATTGATATTTAAGATAGCTAACGATTCAATAGATTTTAAAAATAAGAAAGTATTAAGCGGAATTGAATTTCTTGAATTTTTATATCAGTTTTATTTTAATTTTCGTGGGATACAAAAGAAAGAAAATTGAAATGTAAATTTCCAACGTTTTATCAGATAAAAATTAACAATTGTTTTCATGTAACGTCTGTGCAGTGTGTATTTATATTTAGTTTGAATTCGTATTGCCAATAATCTCGCCGTGATTTAATACTATACAAAGTAAATATATAAATATAAACTATGTTGAACACCTATATAATGCAAACACTGATAAACTCCAGGCAGTAGACATACAGCTGTAAATATATTATACAGGCAGGTAGTTCATATACACTGTACACACACATGCAACAGGAGATCTTAACGATACCAACCATTAAAGAATTGTAAAATTTCCAAATTTCAAATAATTTTTAGACGAGGGAAATCTGAGATATTATAATTTCAGTTCTGGTTTTCATTTTATGGCTTAGTTACTTTTGTACCGGCCCAAAATTGAAAGCTTTTGTATGGAGGGGGGGGGGGAAGCTCCTAAATAGCATGAAAACCATTTCTTTCATTCCTTAATTTTGTTATAAGGGGAGGGTTGCCCATACCTCCAGTTACTGCCCTGCTTTTGTATAAGGATACTGTGACAAATTCATATATTATTGTTGTTAACAACTAAAGAGCATCATACATTCTCAACTTTATTTACTATGTACAGAGCGTCCCATATCATTGGATTATCTTCAAGCTTTTACGCCAAAATAAGCACATGACACTAAAAAATAACCTGGTATGTTCTGAAAGAAAATTTTATATTAGCCTTATAATTTTTTTTATTCATTCATTTTTTTAATTTTCTGATTATAGTTCTTCAACCTCGATTTAGAGCTAAAAACAATCTAAAATGATATGGGACACCCTGTATAAGATTATTTCTTAACTTTCTATTGACATTTTTTATGAACATTGAACATGAATCCACTTTTTATTTAACTGCTTGTTACATTAATTCTCAACTTGTAAGCATTTAATTGTTTTTATTTCCTTTTATTAACAACATATACTAAACTAATCCACTTAAAATCATAATCTTTATTAAACTAACAACTGTTTATATAATACATATGTTTCTTACAAATCGATTTTTCTAAATTACTAGATAAATAAATACTAAATAAATGGGGGGGGTGGGGGGTTGTAAAAAATATCAATAAATTATGGTTACTAGCCGGCCAGTGCACGTTAACACCCTTTATCTCAAAAGGGAGGTACATTTTTAGCCAAAAAAAGTAAATAGAAAATAGAGCATTGAAATTTTAAAGAAATATTTGTTTTTGTGTGAAAATATAAAGTTCACTTCTTACAATCTTTGTTTTGTACTCCTAGGATATGTTTTCCAAAGTTGAACTTCTAACCTTTGGAAGATTTGCGATAAATTTGTTTAATCATTCTCCTTGGAATAAACAATTATTATTTAGGTGAATATGACCCAGCAGAGATACATAATGCAGGTCAGCTTAGAAAACATATGATTCATGTTTCCCTTCACCTGGCCTGGCAGATGGTTTCTTTCTTCATTTATCTTTACTGGTAAGTGGATTGAAAATTTAACTTTTTAACAATTATTATTGAATTAATTTTATCTAATTTTAGCTTGCTTGACGCTGTTATGCTAGAGGACGTAATGCTTCCAGCAGACGATGATGTCACTGTTCTGAATCGACCAGTTCAAACCAAATATTACACAACCCCGGCTACTAAAGAACATCATCCTCAGCGGGATTATGATTTCTAGTTGGTTTTTACTTTTTAATTCTGGGTGGTATTTTAGTTCCCGAATGCACCACCAGGGTAGGATTTTAGTTTCTAAATGCACCACCAGGGTTGGATTTAGTTTCTAAATGCACCACCAGGGTGGGATTTTAGTTTCTGGATAGACCCCAAATGGCTGGATTTTAGTTCCTGAATGCACCACCAGGGTAGGATTTTAGGTTCTAATTGCACCACCAGGCTGGTATTTTAGTTTCTGGATTCACTCCAAGGGCTGGATTTTAGTTCCTACATACACCACAATGGTGGAATTTTAGGTCCTGAATGCTCCACCAGGTTACTCATTTTACATAATTCCATCAATGTGTACCTCACCACCTGGCTCTTTTTCCATTCATTTCAACAAGGAGAAATCATAGATTTCAATTGTCCCACCAAAAAAAATATACAATTTTTGGAAAAATAAGTAATTTTGAATGATCTCCAAGGTGTTGTTATGAGAAAAAAATCATCAATTAACCTCGTATATGAGCAAATTGATTTTAAAGTGAACTTTGTCAAATTTGCTCAATTTAATCTTGGTCATATACAATACATGCTTTAATCTGATCTCAACTGTCTAGTCTTTTTATGTATTATACATATCTAGTTCAAGGTTACTAGTTTCAAAAATATCTAGTCGGTTTCAAAATATTAAAGATTCCCAAATCAAATCAGTTTTACAAAGCTTAATATTTTACGAGTTACAGAAAACAATTTTTTTAATTTCTATGTTTATTTCCTCTAATATGGGGATAATCCATTTTATGTTTTAGCGTTAATTTACTGTTTTAGTCATTGTGAATAAATTATGCTTTTATTTTAGAATTAATTTAGAATATTTTAATTCGACTGTACCTGTATTTTTATTAATTTATTTTATTATATTGTATTAAATCATTAAATGTTAAATAAATATTGGTTATTTTATTTAATCTTTGTTTAATCAATATTTATTTTGAAGAAGAAAAAATTATCATTTTAGGGACTAATTAGGCAGAAATTTTTAGTAAAGCAAATCTGTTATTTATTTTCCACAATTTTATTATCTAATGTTTTTAGCCGACAGCTGAGAGTTTTGAGGTGTAGTCGAGGAAAGTGAAAGTTGAATCTACAATAGGTGTCAATGAGATATTAAAGAAATCTTGCATGACGTCATTGGTGTCTGCAAATAAGTCCTTTCCAGGCCATTTATGTAGAGGATATTAATTATAAAGCAAGGACACGTATACTGCATTGATTTCAATGCAAACTTGATAAGTTAAGCCTAAATTTATCATCTTATCGATTATTTGGCTGGCACTAAACATAGAGAACCCACAATTGAGAAGGAAAAATCTAAATTATAAACAATGAGATCTAATTCATATACCTGACAAGACAATGCTTTTAAGGGTACCGTTGTGAATCGGGTATTGACATCTTTACATGAAGGTCACTTCAGTTTACGCTTTAAGTTCCTTTAACCCGACTTTGGCTGATAAAAGTACGCAATCTCAATTTCCACTCCAACTTCATGAAAAACATGAAAAAATGCGCTTTTGCTGGTTTACGGGCAATTATACAGGATTTTAGCCGGGGGGGGGGGGCGGGGCAGTTATCGTTCTTGTACCCAGTAGTCCCAGATCTTAGGACTATATATTATAATGTATCCCTTTGTATAGATCTATTCCGACCTTTCATGAAAAGTCATTTGTTTTAGCTTATTTATATAAGGCCTGCACCATACTAAAAATCCTCAAATTATTGAGACATCTAAGGAAAACTAAGATATCTCAATATCTTGATTATTTTGGTATAGTGCAGACCATATAAATGCTCTAAATTTGACATAGAACCATTTTTATTTCGTGACTGTTGAGTAAAACGAACTTCTGAATGACACTAATCAATTAGAGATTTTTAAGGCGAAAAATTGGATTTAAAAAAAAAAAACTTGGAAATAAGATAACTTGTAAAGATGTTGAGATGTATTAAACCAAGGTTATAATGCAAGGAAAGTTAATTGCAGTTGCGTATACTCTGCGTACATATTGAACCAGCTCTCTCTGGGCGGTCATGGAATTTGTAAACAAGTATAGATGTATCAATGAAGGTTATAATGCAAGGAAAATTATTTCAGAGGTGTACGCATCTTTTGTACTGCAATGTACTGTCTCTGGGCGGATGTCACAGCCTGACATGGGATCCATCTTGCACATAAAAAATTATTGAAATATCTGGTCATAGGAAACTATTATGTGAATTATTGAAATTATAAAAATTAAATGCTTTTATCCTCTCGGATACTAAACAAACACTGATGCAAGGTACTAATGCAAGGAAAGTTAATTGCGGTCGTGTATACTCTTCGTACATATTGAAACCAGTTCTCCCTGGGCGGAATTTGTAAACAAGAATAGATGCATCACTGTTCGTCTGGTATCCGAGGAGGTTAAAAGCATTAAATTTTGATAATTTTGATAATTCACATAATAGTTTCCTATGACCAGAATACTTCATAGATTATTTTTGTTAAAATGGATTCCATGTCAGGCTGTGACATCCGTCTTGAGTTTACTTTTCCGCCCAAAGACAGTACACTGCAGTAAAAAAAATGCGTACACCTCTGAAATAACTTTCCTTCATTATAAGAACCTTGCACTGATGCATCTATTCTTGTTTTCAAATTCCGCCCAGAGAGAACTGGTTTCAATATGTACGCGGAGTATACACAACTGCAATTAAATTTCCTCGCATGATAACCTTTCATCGGTGTTCGTTTAGTATCCGAGGAGGATAAAAGCATTAAATTTTGATAATTTTGATAATTCACATAAAAGTTTCCTATGACCAGAATATTTCATTGATTTTATATGTGAAAGATGGATCCCATGTCAGGCTTCGACATCCGTCTTGTGTTTACATTACCGCCCAGAGACAGTACACCTCTGAAATCATTTTCCTTGCATTACAACCTTATATTAGATCAGCTCAAATGAAACCTTTATGTATCTAGCTAAAAAAGATTTTTTTACATTTACCAATAATCTTTAATGTGTAAGCTGAAAAAAATGTCGTCATTTTGCCTAACCAAAACAATAAGACTACACGTGGCTACTTGGACTGAAATTTACAATTTTTCCCCCTGCAAATATCTGAACAAATTTCCGGTTTTAAAGTTCCCTTTTTAAAGGACTTTTCATAAAAGATGGGATAAATTTTCACATTTTACTCAAAAATCCTGGGAGCAACTAACTCCAAAATCCTGGGAGCAATTCCAAACCCCGTTGCGGATAGGGGCAAGCCCATTTTTTACTTACCACACCTGACTTTAACCTTTGCCCATTAATTCCAAGGGGGGGGGAAAGAGGACTATTCCCCCCCCTGTATACGCGCCTGCTGGTTTAGTTATTATTATTTAAGACTCAAAGAAGTTCAAAGTAAAATTTCGAATCCGCTGGAGACCAATGGAGGGATTATATTTTCACTGGAGGGGTAATTGTATATCTATTATTCAATATTTATCACTTTACACAATGTGATTTACATTTCACTGCCATGCTGGAGGGATTCAGATAATCATTCAAGAGGGGGTTTATATTTTTACTGGAGGGTTTCAGTTATGTTTCAGGGGGTATATAATTCCACTAGAGGGATACAGATATGCTACTAGGGGTTTTTAATTCCACTGGAGGGATACAGATATGCTACTAGGGGTTTTTAATTCCACTGGAGGGATACAGATATGCTACTAGGGGGTTTATAATTCCACTAGAGGGATTCAGATATACTTCCAGGGGGTATATAATTCCACTAGAGGGATTCAGATATACTTCCAGAGGGTTTATAATTCCACTGGAGGGATTCAGATAAACTTCCAGAGGGTTTATAATTCCACTAGAGGGATTCAGATAAACTTCCAGAGGGTTTATAATTCCACTGGAGGGATTCAGATATACTTCCAGGGGGTTTATAATTCCACTGGAGAGATTCAGATATCCTTCCAGGGGGTTTTATAATTCCACTAGAGGGATTCAGATAAACTTCCAGAGGGTTTATAATTCCCCTGGAGGGATTCAGATCTGCTTCCAGAGGGTTTATAACACCATGTACTTGAGGGATTGTGATAATCTCCTGTATTATATATTTGCATTGCACCACCCTGTTTGAATTCTCAAGGTTGCAGATCTGAAGATAAATTTTAATGGTTTCCAGGATTGAGGGAAACCAGGGCAATAAATTCATCCCATGGTGTCATCGTTAAACCACGGAGAATATGCGTGGGGTCTTCTTGGTTTATGATCAGCACAGATAATTGGCAGGAGGGNGATTTCAGCTAGGGGGACGAGATTTTTTTGGTACACAAAAATCCAGGGGTGTATAAAATTCTCCCCCCCCCCTCCCTAGGTGGAAGAAAGGGGAAAAGAAAAAGGGAGAAAAAAGATAGGGGAAAAATGAAAGGAAAAGGGGAAGGAAAAGTAAAGGAAAATAAGTAGGGTAACAGGGGGGAAAAAAGAAGCATACGGATGGGGGAAAGATAGGGAGGGAAATGGATAGGTAGGGAAGGGTAAGGTAGAGAAGGAGATAAGTGGGGAAGGAGATAAGTAAAGGAAAGAGATAGGTAGGGAAGAGGAAGGTTAGGAGGGAAAGGGGATGGTTGAGACGTAAAGAGGAAGGTTGAGAGGGAAAGAGGAATATAGGGAACTACGGAAGGGACAGGGAAGGGAAGTAGAAAGGGAAGGTAAGAGGAAGGTAAGGGTAGCTAGGGAAGTGGAACGAAGGGAAGGGGAAGATTGTATTTCATTTATTGTTCTTGTTCTTATGTTCTTAGTGCATGTTTAAAACTCTTAGTTTTTAATGTTCCTAATCTAATCTAGCTTTTCTTTTTTTGTTCCTAACTCATCCAACATTTGTGTGTTATTGTATTTTTACTTTTTTTAAACCTATAATGTTCATAGTTCTTTTTTTCTTGACCTTGTTCCTAAAATCCTAAATTGCATTTGCCTACCTGTTTTGTTCCTAATTTTAAGTACGTATCTTCTTATCTATGATATGATATTGTATTTAATATCATAATTCCTTTAAATTACTTGAAAAAGGGGCATATACAATAATCAAATTAAGAACAATATTTGATCAAATTGGGAACATTTTTTGCCTGAAAATCTCAGGGGGGGGGGCGTCGTCCCCCTGAATCTGTCAGTTGGGTGCAAAGGTACCCCCGCCTCTCCCTGGTGTCCGCCCTTGCGTCTGCACTCTACAGTGTCTGTAAAATATAACATATTTTTATTGAAATGAATTCGTCAACTATTTAATTGTAAAGATTGTATCTTCTCTCCATCAGGTCTGAAATGTCTAGATAAGGTATAGACTAGAGCAGAGAAACCAGGAATACAGATCATGTGATGAAAATACAACAACCTGTATAATGTTTAGATCTATATATATAATAGTTAGATAGATAAATAGGTAGATAGATAGATAGATGGGGTTAGATATATTTTCCGAAATACTATTTTATTATTGATTAGAATCTTTATTCAATGTTTATTATTAGTATATTATAAAGTTTATTTACTTATTAAAAACTGGTTTAAACTGCGGCTGGTTATCTGCTGATTTTACGCAAGTGTTAGTTCAATCTTTGCATCTCTTTATATTAACTTCTTTTCTTCATGTTAAAAATTTAAATTTACATTTTACAAAACAACTGTTAGAACTCCTTGATATGCTAACATTTTTTTAAAAATTTAAGTTTTTAAACTTAAATTTTGAATGTTAATTCAACAAGACTTAAATTTCGTTATCGAAAAACAAAACAATAGTATTATTAAATATCATTTACACGTAATTATTTCTATCAAGAACTATATATATATACAGCCCAATAAGACATATTTTGTTTAATTCTTCAGATCCTTTCAATTTTGGTGTAATGAGTTTTCAAGGCAGTAAGGAATCTTTGATCGATTTTCTATCTGGATCTGTAGGTAGAAATATATAGCAGAAATATATAGTAGAAATATTTAGTCGAAATACAGTGAAACCCTTAATAACGAATACATCGAAAGAATTCATCAAATGTCGTATTCTTCACTTTCAGCTAATGAAATGTTGTAGATATTTAGTTTTTTAATTAAATGATTATATGGAGCTCTTTAAAACTGTTCCCGCATATTCATGGCTATTTGTTTATTTTCGCAAATACTGAAATTTACGTAATATAGTATTAAACTCATTGAAAAATTGTCAAGACGACATTTGATAAATTCTTCCGATGTATTCGTTATTAAGGGTTTCACTGTATATAGTAGAAATATATAGTAGAAATATACAGTAGAAATATAAATATAATTAATATTATTATTATTATTATTATTTTTATTATTATCATTATCTAACCACCCTCTAATAAATATAGGAGGAGCATGTGGAGTGCTAGTAGGTCAACCAATGGATACAGTTAAAGTCAAACTACAAACATTTCCTCATCTATACAACGGTACAACAGATTTGTACATTCTGTACATTATGTAAATGTATCTTTTACAGTATATTTGTCTAATCTAAATGTGACCTATTAGGAATGATCATAAACTAGGTTTATTGTAAAATAAACCACAGTCAACTAGACAGATAGAGACGGTCAAATGTATGCGACATCACCGGGACGACTTTTAATTTTACGCACAAGTATGAGAAAATTTAATTTACTTGGTTACACGTGTGAACCAACAATTAATTATAGAACAGAGGAAAACTCATAATCCTTGTCTACAATCCTTGTTTACAATCCTTGTTTACAATCCTTGTTTACAAATTACAATCCTTGTTCACAAATTACAATCCTTGTTTACAATCCTTGTTTACAATCCTTGTTTACAATCCTTGTTTACAATCCTAGTTATTGTTTTGATAAAACTGGTTCTCAGCTCAGTTATAATTTGTCTCAATAAAATGTGCACAAACCCTATCTCCTTAGTTCTATATTTCATTGTTCTAACCTCTGTAGATACATGATGATCTTATTTAATGCAATGATCTAAAATTCAATTTCCGTAAAAAAGGTTTAAAAATACTGTTTTTAAACAAATTTTCACTTCAAAAAAAATATACAAATGCGTAAAATACATGTTTAATTATTTGCATGGAATATCACATTTTTGCGCTTAAATAGGCTGTTGTTAATTTGTTTTTTGTATGCAAACCGGTTTCGAAGGGAACAGTACAGTTAAAGTTTTTATTTCATTTTGAGATAATTAATATCCCGTGTATTTTCAAATTATGGATTTTTTACTTAATTTTGCGGATTTTAGACTTTCTTGCGTTTTTTCGGTCTAAAAAGGAATAAAATTATGTTAGCAACTGCCTTGAGTATAATTTGGGAAATTATATTTTTGCAAAATATAATGTCCCGTATTATAGCACGAGGCAGTTGTATAAATAGATATTATATACTTCCTCCGCCCATTTGGACCATAAAAAATCTGTTTAACTTTTTTAGATTAATTTAGGGACCGTTGGCTGTGTCCGTGAGATAATAAAAAGGGACGGTGTACGAGGTTTATATGCTGGAACTCTTCCTTCCCTTGCTGCTAATATTGGTTAGTTATTACAAGGAACCAAGAATATAATGTTTTAACAAAAAGTTATACAGTAACATTACATGAAAGTAACATTTATGAACAAAAGAAAGTCTTTAATCTAGTTCAATAAAGAACTACAATTTGAACTAATTAAAACGATATCTTGATTGAAAGCTGTCTATCGTATTCCACTTTATTTTGGGAACCACTGTATGTAGATATTTTTGTTTATCAATCTATTGTTCAGGAGAGAACAGTATTCTTCTAACTGCATACGGACTTTGTCAGAAGGGAATAGCAAGGTTGGCATTAAAGGGATTGCTCCCACATTTGAAAATTTTTTAATTATCCAAAGTTTTTGAATAAGGTTTACAATACGTATACTCGTATATACTATATTTGATATTACTGCTCTAAGATGTTCCTGAGGAGAAAAGTCAAGATTTTGCTGAAGGCTAGGTTGAAAATAAAATTTTTCTAATTGTCAGCACAAACTTATTTTTTCCTATTTTCAATCTGCAGGTTCAAATTGAAGTAGGGTTGGGGGTCAGATTAATTTATTTATATATTATTATATATTATAAATTAGTTACTGTCTGGAAGTATGTGGGGGGAGTAAGTTCCTCTAAACTTAGACCAATTTTTATGATACAAAAAAATGCATAAGAAATATTGTTTGCGAAACATTTAAAGCTCATATTGGAGCTAATTTAAAAAAATTAGAAATTTTGAAAGTGCCTGATCTTGTCAAAATTTAATTCACTTTGTTTTATGTATAAATATGATAAAGGGAATATTCCATCTTCCTTTGAACACTTTTTCACTCCTTTCAGTCAAAAACACCGTTCTAAACAGTATATTCTGAATGTACCATTAAAAAAGAAGTTGGATTCTTTTCCTAGCTATACTCTTCCAAAAACATGGAATAACCTTAGTCTTACTCTTAAGAGAAACTCAACTTTCAATACTTTTAAGAAGCATTTAAAAAAAGATATATTTGATTCATATAATATGTAAAAATAGGTCCTAGCTCTACTCTTTCTAATCTTTTATTTTTAGAAGGTGGGTGTTGTTCTTTAACCCCTGGTCTCTGATCCCCCCCAACTCCTGATCTGGGTTTCTCCTTACTAGTTGTATAGTCTCACACCGTCATGTGTATTATTTCAAGATATAGCATTCAAACAGCTATGCTAGCTATATCCTTTTGCTATACTAAATAGAAGAAAATATTATTTGTAACAATATTGTACATTTACATATACATGTTTTTTTATTTTCTGACAATTCTGTAAATTTAAAAGATATTTAGCAATAAACGTTATTATTATTATTATTATTATTATTTAGGGTAATGAAACAGAACATATATAAAGGACCGCTTTTTTATATGAAGGGGCAGCTCTATCTTTGGTCACTTAAATAGCTGTTTATATATATATATATATGGCCTCAAATACAGCTCTGTTTAAGACCACTAATACATATTTTATTTATATTAGGGTCACAAATACACAGAAGCTGGATGAAATGAGTCTTTCTTCACTTGCCCTCTCAGGAACTTATTAGCATAGCAAATTTAGTTTGAAAACTAATTACATTATTAGCTTTTTATATTAAAACTTAATACATTTGATCATATTAAGAAAGATATCTAATAACTTAACTTTAACCAAGGTTTCACTATGGAAAACCTGACTTTTATAAATACTGTTGCAAATGTTTTAATCATAACTATAATTGTTTTCATAGTTATCTTTTAAAGAAATGGCCGTCGAAGGCGTAAGCTGGTAGCATTTTAGCCTCCAAAGTAGAAAGATTGGTTTAACCAAGAAATATACGAGTAACTCATGAGTAACTCCCATGTACTAAAGTGTACTGCAGTTTATGGGAGAAATGTAAACAAACGAATTGCTGTTTAGGCTTAGCATTGTTTATCTATATTCCTTTCAGAAACTGCAGTACATATTATTTAATGGAAGTAATTCTTTTATATTCCTTGGGTTCAACTGAATCGACCTCCTATTAGTCAAATCTTTACAGTTTTACCAATTGAAAATCAGTTAAGCGAGAATAGAAGGAGATTAACTCATTCCGTTTATCTAAAAGTTCCCGGCTCTTGTGAACTATTTTATAATAAGTGTTGGTCGCTGGTTAATCTATTTCTAGAATTCAGGATCCTGTGCATCATTCTTCTCTTCTCTTATCATCTGTCCTACTGAGCTTATTAAGTGTAAACTACAGGTTAAAAACTTATCATCTGTCCTACTGAGTTCATCAAGTGTAAACTACAGATTAAAAACTTATCATCTGTCCTACTGAGCTTATCAAGTGTAAACTACAGGTTAAAAACTTACCATCTGTCCTACTGAGTTCATCAAGTGTAAACTAAAGGTTAAAAACTTATCATCTGTCCTACAGAGCTTATCAAGTGCAGTGAACTACAGGTTAAAAACTTATCATCTGTCCTACAGAGCTTATCAAGTGTAAACTACAGGTTAAAAACTTATCATCTGTCCTACAGAGCTTATCAAGTGTAAACTACAGGTTAAAAACTTATCATCTGTCCTACTGAGCTTATAAAGTGTAAACTACAGGTTAAAAACTTATCAACTGTCCTACAGAGCTTATTAAGTGTAAATTACAGGTTAAAATTTTATCATCTGTCCTACTGAGCTTATCAAGTATAAACTACAGGTTAAATTTAATAATCAACTCTTACAGATCAAGTTTAAAAGTCTAAAAAAATATTTTCAAGAAGAATGAAAAATTAAATCATCTCTCAGGTTAAAAACTTATCATCTGTCCTACTGAGCTTATAAAGTATAAACTACGGGTTAAAAACTTATCATCTGTCCTATAGAGCTTATAAAGTGTAAACTACAGGTTAAAACTTATCATCTGTCCTACTGAGCTTATTAAGTGTAAATTACAGGTTAAATTTAATGATCCACTCTTAAAGATCAAGTTTAAAAAGTCTAAAACAAATAGTTTCAAGAAGAATGGAAAATTAAAAACCCAAAGATATTTGGTGCACTTGGATGCGACTTTAAACATAAATTCCAAAAATCTGTCAAAAAATGTGATCAAAACTGTAATTATCTGAACAAATTAATTCATTTATAGACAGGGATACCCACAAAGGAAGAGTTTGTAAAGACCACCAAAAACTCTAAAAATATGATTATTTGAAGCTTGATTTTTTTGTGCATTAAATTGTTTTTTAAGTTCGGGCCAACTACTCAAAACAACCAACCCTGGTTAGGCGGGTCCAAACTGCATAGTAAATTGTGATTGCTTATTTGTAATATCTCATGCTTTGTAGGTGAATAAAAATATGAATGAATGAATGAATGAATGAATGAATGAATGATTTACGAAATGATTAAGCACACAAATATGCCAGTTTTGGCCCGACAAAGAACTCTGAATTCAAGAAAATGGACTTGAACATATTCCGTACAGTCGTCTCTGAAGTCTCATCCTTTGTGAGTAACCCTGTATCATCAACTCATTTCAAGATTCAGCGTAATTCTTATGCATGCAGTATTATACTGCAGTTTATTACATGACATGAGTATATTCTATAATATGATAAAAAAGTCAATGCAACAACTCAAACGTCAAATATTCCGAGAGACGGTTTTACAATTTATTATACTTTATACAAACATTGAGAAATAAAAATACTATACGATCGATGAAAAATAAATAACAGTCAACGGTAGAAGAATGCTCAGGATATTCCCCAACCTTGCATCGAAAGGGTTCGTCTCGAACTGTTTTTCTCCGGGGAACTTCACTTCACCCTCCTTAGATTTAACCCTAGCTATCCCGGCCTGTCGGGCCGACACCCCTAGCGCAACCCCCTCCAAGATAACGGACGGCGTCGCTTGGGTTAAAAATAACTCAGCTTGCCTTGTTCCCGAATTTTCAAGTAAACACAAATAAAACCGTTATTTTTCTAGATCTGTACAACGGGGGTATGAAACCCCTAGATAACTATGATCGTAACGATCTAAAAATCTTTTGAACCGCTGATCGTAAAAGATCAACAAAAGTCACAACATCATTACAATATTTTTGTCTTATCTATAGTGTCTTCTTATGTCTATGAATAAAAATTTTATTTTTAATTTCCTTTAAACAACATTGTTTTAACAGAATTGTCAACTATAAAATTCACAATAGTATTTTTAATAAAGTACGCAATCGATATCTATTTCTTACAGGGTGTCCCAATAAACATGGGAATTCAGTGACGAATTGGATATCGTCTTTGTTATGAATTAGCATTAAAATACCTAATTTCAAAAGCCATGATATTATTATGTCTACTAGAGTTATTTTATGAAACAGGCTGCAAAGATCTGCGTATAATGTCTTTGCAAAATGAACAGTATACTGTAACTTTTTTGTTTTACTAAGTACAACCGTGTGCAGTCGAAACATAAACAAACAAATTGTAAACATAGCAGCAAAAATCTTACAGAATACAGCTTTCTCAGAAGGTATCACTATACTAAATCAAAGCATTATTTAAAAAGACGATATCGAATTCGTCACTGAATTCCCATGTTTATTGGGACACCCTGTATTAAATCGGATAACATCGCTCGGGCCGGCAGCTTATAAAAAACTCGTGAATAAGCATTTTAGAATAGCATAGAATCTATCTGTCAGTGTCACTTCAAACTAACTTAAGTTCACGTGGTTAAAATCTTAAATGTTTTCTAATTGAAGAGATATTGAGAAGAATAAAAATGTTTTGAGTTTCTAATATGTTCTGATAGATTTGATTTTCTTATACTTGTGCGTTAAATCAAAATATAGAGGTGCTACGAGGTCACAAAGTATTGACCCTCTCCATCTGTCTAGTTCTGCTGTAGATGTACATGAATCCTATTCTAGGGGTTGAGAGAGGTGAATAAAGGAAAGAAGATGAATATTGGAATATCTACTGTTATCAGGGAATAACTTTTACCAAAAAATGCATCCGAAAAAAACAGTTTTCATTTTAAAGAGCAAAAAACCTCATTTTCATAAATAAAAATTCAAAAAAACTATGGTTTAGAAAAACAAATTCTTTTCCTATATCCAGATTCCAGAGCAAAATTTTGTAAAGAAAATGAACACTTGTCACAAACTCTAATTTTCAAGCTTTTTATCTTCTATCTTTATAACATTTGAAATAACAAAGCTGTTCACGCAAAATACAATGAAAGGTTGTAAAGGTTAGAAAATTGTATTTTTGGCAAATGTTCAGTTTCTTTCCTTTTTTCATTAAGAGTTATGAAATCTAATTTTTACCCCTAAAAATGTGTAAAAATAGAAACTTTGAACCTTCGAAATGCAGCAACGTAAAAAGTAATTTTTTTCAGAAATATTTTGAAAACTGAAGGAATGAAAGGAATGTTTATGGGACTAGGTAAAAACAATCTGTAAAATCTCTTTAAAGGGATTGTAGGTGTAGTTCTAAGTGACCCTCCATTTGAAGAAGAGCATGCTAAATTCACAACGGCACTCTGAATGAAAAACCTTTATCTGATCAATAATGTGCATAAACGTCGTTTTTCTAGTTCTCTTGTTCTTCTTTCAATTTATCCAATGTTTCTAGAGCAAGAAATGCGGAAGTCTTTGTGTAAAGAAACAAAACCATGACACTCTATAAATCGAGGGTCACTTGAAATTGCGTTTACAGTCCCTTGAGGAGGTTATGATGAACTCAAAACAACTATAACAAAATTTATTTCTTGTCCCATCTATGTAAATTCTGAGCGGAAGAGAAACAGGGATATTCACAATTAATGAGATTTCAGGACTTTGAGTTGTAAATCTTGGGATCAATCATTGATCTCCATCATATGCGGACCTATACGGATTAATTTAATTCCCTTTCGATATCCATGGTGGTCGCCCTCCGTGGATAACTTTAGTTAAAGGGACAGACCGGCTATGTAATTTGAGACAAGTACAACGTTTCCACGATGTATAATTACTGAGTTTGAGTGCATAGTCGACGTTCAAACTCATGAATTTGGGTGGGTACGTTTCAGAATCTTTTTTTTAAATTATTAAACAACGCCGACGAAAAATAAAGTAAAAGTTATACAGTAAACTAATTAGATGTTTAGGAACATATTTCTCAAAAGAAATTTGTCAATAAATCAGTGTTAGAATCAAATATTTCGTTTTCATCATTATATTGAATTTCCTATTTTCCATGAATTTGTTCGCAGATTTCTACAAATTCTTCTAATGTTGTCTTTTCAATAAAAGTTCCAGAAATCTACAGAAAATATTTGTGAATAATCCGAGATTATAGAAACTAATAATTAAACAAGATTACTTATTTTTGATGATAAATTAAAAAAAAACAATTAATTAAAAAAAACAAATCTGAAAACGTATCTACCCAAAAATTACGATTTTGAATGTCGAATTTGCGCTCAAACTCAGGATTTACAGATCTTTAGAAAGTTTTATATGTCTCAACGAATCCTAAAGAATTTGTCCACACTACTGCATACTCAGTCCCATTAAACGCTTTCTAATTGGTCCACGTAGTTCTGCTAAGTATAGAGAGATTCAATGACTTCTGATACTCTTTAAAGTTTGCTTTTTGTTCTTTTTGTATGCTTGATCACTTAGTGTTTATTAATATGAATTTATTTAAGTCCCAACATGTAGTAGAGAAATGCCGGGATACTTTTTCTTCTTTCTAAGCTATGAATCAACCAGGTAGTATTATTTATCTAGTCAAATTGAAATCATTTTAAACATCCCTGAAATGATTAATATTGTATAGAATATCTGTATAATAAAACAAGACATTCGTATATATGTTGCGTATAGCCGGCCAAACGGCTGGACCGATTGGGTTAAAAAATCGAAATTTTTAAAATATTTTTTGATTTTTTTTATCTTTTTCTTTCACGGGCAACGTCGGGCCCTTCAACTACTTATTTATATATTTGTTTACACTCATCTTAAATGTTGACCTTAGAGAAAAAAGTGTTCTCAGATTGAATGCTTTACTTAATGAAACAAAGTAAAGAGGTAAAAGTTTAGTCCGTTCACCATCGGTATTCAAAGGCCATCAAATAATGCGTGATAGACCTGACATATTTTAATATTATGAACATTATAGTCCCGTCAAATGTTTGAAATAGAAAAAATGTTCGTTTAATGGATGGAAATAGAAACCTAAATTTGAAACTAATTACATTCGATAAAAACAGCGATCCACATAGAACTGAATAGGAAGACGACATTTAAGCATTCTTATGATCATTTTGATGCTATAATGCAATTATTTTACCGGCAACCTGGAAAACAACTTATGAAGTGAATTGTCTCTGTGTTTTAGCGTTTCATGTTCATTGGATAATTGAAATCAATACTTGAGTCTTAAAGTTGTCTTCCTATTCCACAGTTTTATGGGTTGCACTGTATACAATCACGTTTATGAGTTGCACTGTATACAATCACGTTTATGGGTTGCACTGTATACAATCACGTTTATGGGTTGCACTGTATACAATCACGTTTATGGGTTGCACTGTATACAATCACGTTTAAGGGGTGCACTGTATACAATCACTTTTATGAGTTGCACTGTATACAATCACGTTTACCATCATTTAACATTTCCGATTCATCCTCTGTTCAAAACATTTTAAATTTTTCGGTTTAGATTATTTCTCTATTTTGTAACAGGAAAAATGTATTTTTTCCATATTTTTTCATTTTATAAATTTATAAGCCCCCCCCCCCCCTCCTTATTTCTTTTGTAAAATGTAAACAAAAACAGTTATGTCAAGTCTTAACCCCCCCCCCCCTCCTCCCTCTGTAAAACTGTGGTAATAAAACGAAATGCATCGGAAATTAGGAAATTAACCCTAAATCTCTGAACCTTCAGTTCTAATAATCAAACTCTTGGGTTTGCAATTTTAATAGTTTTCATGAAATATTTAGGAAAAAATTGACGATCTCACATCAGGGCCTCTGCAAGAAATGTTGCTGTCAACCCAATTAATGCATCTTTGTTTATTCAAGGACCCTACTGACCCCTACGGGTGGAAGCAAAGACGACCTGGGTGCACTTCAAACTGTAATGTGTGGTGGCATTGCAGGGAATCAGTTATCATTTGCTTTGCAGTTAACCCGCTCATCATGCAACTTTTATAAGATGAAAATATGATTTCCTAGATTTGCTATTTCTTAAAACCTCCCCTTACTAGAAAATCAGATTCAATTGAAGTATAGAGCCGACTTATTTGTAACTAAAGCAGTTTGTGTACTGTATTGTACATTACTGTAGTACAGAAATATTATATATGGTTTACCCATATAGGATGACAGCAGGCAATTCTCTAAAAATATTGCAATTTCAAGATTTGATTAAGTCATCTGCCTCAAATATAGATTTACAGTTGTAGTAAACCATAAATATAAGGAAACAGACAATATAAATTCCGTACAGTCGTCTCTGAAAACTCATCCTTTAAAGTTTAAATCCAGAGACTGGACTCTAGTGAGATTAATATGCCCTCCCTAAAACTTTCTACTCTTATTGTTTCTCTTAATTTTTTTATCGAAAGCAATTCCCTATATCTCTGGAACCCAATGTCGTGGACATTAGATATTTAAAGCTATGAACCCTATTAGATTAAATATTCAAAGTTTGAAATATCAAACGTTTACATTATTAGGTTGCAAGGATAGGGATACAAAAACTTATGTTTGTGGCAAAGACTCAATTCCTTTACTTCTATTTCTACAGGTTTTCATACGCTTTCTTCTTTAAACTCCTTTTTTGTTATGAAATACAATTCTTGTAATCCTGTCCTAATCTAATCTGATCGTAACCCTAACCGAAACCAAAATATTTTAATTGAAACCCTATTGTCCATAAGCATTCATATTACACACATAAGCATCTGAAACATTTTCTAAAAAATATCCATTTTTCTTATTAAAATTAAGCTATTGATTGATTGATTGATTAAGGGTGCACTTTCTGGATTTCAGTGTTTCCTATGGACGTTATAAAGTCTAGAATACAGGTAAACAGTTTCAATGGGTTTCTCCGACCTAACAGGATGAGGCTCCACTCCTGCTCTTTTCTTCGTTTCTTTAATGAGCTTTCCGATGTCATATTTACTTAATTATTGCCGCCTTTCTTTAAATCTTGTCAATTGAAGAAAATATGATCTATTTTTTTTTATTTCTAAGTCTTAGTAACACTTAAAACCCTTGTAATACATTTTAGGTTATTACTATTCATGGCTTGATAGCTAACCTCATGGCTTAATAGTAGTCTTTCTGTTTGTCTATCTGTTTGCTTGTTAATTTGTTAGTATGTATAATCTTAAATCACGAACCCATTGACCCATTTGCCACTAAATTTGATTGAGAAATCAATCGGTAGAACATCTTTCCAAGTTTCCAACAATACAATTTTTTGTATGCTTTCAATAATATTATCAAAACGTCATAAGTTGAGTAGATTGACTTTTATATTATAATTTACACTCGAGTTTGAATTTAAACAAAGTAAAAAAGATGATAATTTTTTACAAATCTTAAACCCTTTAAACATTCCTCTCAGTTATATTATTTTCTTTTGCTATATTGACTCTTTCCTTCTTCGATTTTAGCATTGCTATTTTCTTCTGCAGCAGTGCTTTATTGGATTCAATTATTTTTTTGTTTCTTGATAGATCTCTTCATATTTCTTTGAAAAATATTTTATTTTGCTAGGTTCTAGGAGATCGAAGAAATATTGCAGCTGTTGGTTTAAACATTATCAGGTTGGTCTAAACGTTATCAGGTTGGTTTAAACATTATCAGGTTGGTTTAAACATTATCAGGTTACATTATCAGGTTTGTTTATAAATTATCAGGTTGGTTTAAACATTATCAGGTTGGTTTAAACATTATCAGGTTGGTTTAAACATTATCAGATTGGTTTATAAATTATCAGGTTGGTTTAAACATTATCAGGTTGGTTTAAACATTATCAGGTTGGTTTAGACATTATCAGCAGGTTGGTTTAAACATTATCAGGTTGGTTTAAACATTATCAGATTGGTCTATACATTATCAGATTGGTCTATACATTATTAGGTTGGTTTAAACATTATTAGGTTGGAAGATTTAAATTTTTCACAAATTTTCATAAAATTTTTACTTAATCTATTTAATTCTATTTTAGAGCTGAGGGGTTTAGGTCTTTATATAATGGGTTGACACCATCCTTACTCAGGCAAGTTATTGAAAACTGTTTGTCCCTTTTCGAAATTCAATTATTGTAAATTTGAAAGAAATAATTAGAAAAATTCTTTAAAATATTTATTTAGGACTTTTCCGGCTACTGCAGCTCTCTTCCTGGCATACGAAAATACTAAAAAACTTCTTTCTGGTTTTTAGAATCCAACATTTTTTTCTTAAACTTGATATCTTCAAACAGTTGTGTAAACTGCATTTCACGAAGTTATGGATTTCTAATTTTGCTCTTATGAAAGGTTCTGTAAATATTTCATTTAAAAAATTGTATATCTGATTTACACCGGTATCCATTAAACCTTGGTTATACGGAAGTATACGTTTACGTATAATTTTGACACAGTTTTATGTCAATTTCTCGAGACAGGAACATCAGATAGATGTCTTATAAGTATCGTTCAACTCCTGAGATTCTCAGGTTTCCGTCTATACCCCCTTTCATTTTTCCTTTACAGTCCCTTTAAGGGTACTACTGTGAATCGGACATTTAACGTGTTGAATTGACGGTCACATGAAGTTATGTTCCTTTAATAAATGATATATCATGTGAAAATAAAAGTTCACAGCCACATATTTTATTTCATTAAAAACAGACTAGGTTCTCATCTTAAAGGAATATACAAATAAATACAATATAATAAATATGAATTAAGAATTAAAGCTATAAATTGACTTGTTAAAACATGATAAATAATAGTTTTTAGTCAGCCGCATAATTAGATAGTATTCACCAGTTTTTCTAATTAAAGATTTTTAATGTTTGTAATCAGAACGAGGATTTCGTTTCCTGAGTTCAGATCGTTTTCTATCTTTCTGATTTCTCTCACGAGGTTCATCTTCAGGTTTAAGTTCTCCTTGTAGTCCTGAAGCTCGGAGTAGTTTAAGTAGTTCTCCAGGTACTCCAGGATGTAGGTGTTTCTCTTCTCAATATTCTTTTTAAGACTATTAGCTTCGTTGATCCTCTCTTCGACCTGCTCCAGCTTACTCTCGAACCCGTGCATCTCCAGGTAGTCCTTTTCTCTTTCCAACCCCTTCTTTAACTTCTCCTTCCTGAAGACGAGGCTGGAGAGCAAGGAGGTAATCTTCTCGATTTCCTTGATGTGGAGCTTGTACTTCTCCAGCTGGTTGTAGGTCGCACATTTCACCAGCTTTGACTGGAGACTGTAGAAATACGAGTTTACTTGTTCGTTCTCATATCGGAGTTTTATCAAGCTTTCCTCCAACCTCACAACCTTAGATTCAAGATATTTTTAAATCGTTGTATCGTGCGCTTTTGTGCATGAAAGTGTGCATATTATGTGTTGTGTGTGTGTATAAGTGTGTGTCTGTGTGCGTGAGTGGAATGCATCCATAAATATCCTGAAATATCTTGTTCCCTTTGTTTTAACACAATAAATGGCGGCCTCTTGACTCCCATCAATTTCCTTCCATCCCAAAAATTCTCGAAGTTTGCCTCCAATCCAAGAATTTGGACCAATTTTGAGCACAGAGTTGCTCTCGGAGCATCTTCTATACTCATAGGTCTGATTTCTGTTTACTGGGGACTCTGGTAGTCTGTAAACCTCATTTGGATTCTCGTCACTAGATGACTCTAGCGGACATGAACATTCCTCCTCTTCATTTTGTAGATTTCCATCAAACTCCTTTAATACTCAATTATCTTTTTAAATTCAATATTTTTACTTGTAATTTAAATATAAAATAAAAGAATAAAATTTATTTATTTACGATTTAATTGATAATTTTCCTTGATTGCTTCTTCAACAGTGACGAAGCTAAGATTACTAGCAGACCGGTGACTTGAGCTCGACCTTCTAAATAATTAAATAAATAGTTAAATAAAAACTTTCATTAAAATATTAATGTTTTTAATTTTATACTTGAAATTCATGGACGTATCTCAGTAAACAAGTTTACTTCCATTATTGAACACAAACTTTCAGGATTTGCATGTTTGCAAATTTTCAGATTTGCACCTTTTTTAGAGCCTTTTTAGAGCCTATTTAGAGCCTACCTTGAGTTTGATTTGGAGCTAGAGTTAGAGCTAGAGGATACAGTAGATAGAGGGGAGGTCATTGCAGTCCTAGAATATATAGTATACTAGAGGATACAGTAGATAGAGGGGAGGTCATTGCAGTCCTAGAATATATATTATACTAGAGGATACAGTAGATAGAGGGGAGGTCATTGCAGTCCTAAATATATATTATACTAGAGGAAACAGTAGATAGAGGGGAGGTCATTGCAGTCCTAGAATATATACTATATTAGAGGATACAGTAGATAGAGGGGAGGTCATTGTAGTCCTAAAATATACTCTACTAGAGGATACAGTATATATTAAGTAAAGTTTTATAAATTCTAAAACATTTATCTAAATTGAAAAAAATGTAATATTTTTTTTAGTAAACCTGAGAGATCCAGAGAGGCTGGAGAGTCCACTGTCAGAATGAGTATGCTGATCAAATATATATATTTAGATAATTTTAATATTCATATTCATAATTCGATTACTTTTCTGATTATTATTATTCTCCTAAAAGATGGTTTAGTGTGATGGAGTGATTTATATTAAGTACGTGTGCAGTACTGCATACTACAAGATTACATAGATAAGGACAGTAGAGAAAGTTGCTGTTTAACATAAGTGACTTATAGTCATTTTAACTGTGAACAACAGAAATCAGAACGTTTTTAATGTTAATTTCGAGATCAAGTATTGATCTTCATATTCATCAGACCTACTAGATCAAGTATTGATCTCCATATTCATCAGACCTACTATATCAAGTGTTGATCTCCATATTCATCAGACATACTAGATCAAGTGTTGATCTCCATATTTATCAGACCTACTAGATCAAGTGTTGATCTCCATATTCATCAGACCTACTAGATCAAGTGTTGATCTCCATATTCATCAGACCTACTGGATCAAGTGTTGATCTACATATTCATCAGACCTACTAGATCAAGTGTTGATCTCAATATTCATCAGACCTACTAGATCAAGTGTTGATCTCTCATAAAAGTATACAAAAACACTTTGTATGTTTAAATATTCTGTACGTTTTGCCCAACAAAAAATAAAGATAGAAAATACGAAAATTGCCAATTTATTGGGGGAACATCGGTTCTAAAATAAAAGCTCACTAGCCCAGGACTTCTAATTTACCGTACGCATTATTTTTTCACTAAAAATCCTTTAACAGTTGAAATAATACTAATGATACTGGAGATAAGAAATTTTGTGCTAATATTGTTAATCTTAAACGTTTGATCTCGATATCCAATCTGGACATTTTGGATTTCTCGCAGAGTATGGCCATCACTGCAGATATCGAATGGGAATTAAATTAAAACGTAAGTCAACAAAAGATTAATAACAATGCTTAATCCCGAGATTCACAATACGAAAGATTAATAACAATGCTTATTCACAATACGAAAGATTAATAACAATGCTTAATCCCGAGATTCACAATACGAAAGATTAATAACAATGCTTAATCCCGAGATTCACAATACGAAAGATTAATAACAATGCTTAATCCCGAGATTCACAATACGAAAGATTAATAACAATGCTTAATCCCGAGATTCACAATACGAAAGTTCTGAGTTTAGTTACGACGAGTGTAAAAATGAGATTGAGAGGTTTCCAAACAGAATCAAGGACTGCATTGCTTGTCCTATCTCAGTAACCTGTGTCGTGTGCATATTGGATTTTTTCTAGTTTTTTATTTTATGTTTACTGCAGTGCAGAGTGTTATCATGTTGAAGGGTTTCTGATCCAAGTTCTTGAACTTGGATTACACATATCCTTCCCTGCCATTCAAATACAATCACAGAACATATACGCAGAACGTGTTTTGTAGGCTTTACATAAAACATAATAAATCATAATGTTGATAATAATATAATAATAATAATAATAATAATAATAATAATAATAATAAAAATAATAATAATAATAATAATAATAATAATAATGATACTAATAATACTAATAAAAATGCAATATATCAATTTTAATAAAACAGTATCTGTTGTTTTGATTGAAACTAACCAATTTCACTCCCTTGAAACTAGGGATCAGGGGAGAATAAAAACATATTTTGAGTGAATTGAACGGGGCAAAAACAGTATCGTTCTCATGAAAGAGTGACGTTTAGTTCCACTCATTTTACTGAAATTCAATTCTTGTTCGTGGAATACCGAGCGTTGAAAACAAAATGAACTTGTTAAAATTCTATATATTCCAATCTTTCTATATTGGCTTCACCTTTAATAATATAAAAATTACGATTTAACCCACTCGAGGCAAATCGATCATGGGGTTCAAGAGTTATGATCGGACAGAGATAAAAACTTTTAATATTTAGGTATATAGATGGTTAAATATAGTCTAAATATTTGCCTATTTTAAAAAACATCTTATCTAAAATTTTAATATTCTCCTTCTTGGTTTCTTTAAAAATGAAAATGCAATATCTTTTTTTTCAGCAAAAAGTTGATTGTTGAAAGCTCTGGTTTATAAAACAATATCCTTCAATGTTCACCACAGGCAGCTGTATTACATTTGAATTTCCGATCCGGATCAACCTTTCCGGTCCCAGTTTGTACTGCACCGCACGGACATTGGTTTAATAAAGAAGACAATCACTAGGACTATCCGGTGCAACAAGGTTGACGCGGGCAGACTTTATGCTTCATAAAGGTTGAATTTACTTTTACTAAAGGGGCAGAAGTGCGTGTCACGGTTAAATATGAATTTGTATTCATTCATTGAAGTAATTGTAAATTTGGGAAACATTTTTTGATTGAAAATTTAGAAACAATGAAAATTAGTTTAAATTAAAATATATATCCCTGATGTTGATTGATTGATATATGTTGAGGACTGGTGTTGGTTGAACTGCTATCTATCCATTTGCTCAAATTCAATGATTTATCCATCCAGAAGTTTGGTGGATTTTTTACTAAACTTTCACAGATTTCTTCACTCTTCACACCATCTTCCCTTCTTCTTTCTTCTTCCTGATCTACTTTACGATCTTCTTCTTTCTTCCACACACTTTGCTGATCAATTGACGGTTCTTCTTTACTGTTCCATACATCTTCAAGCTTCTTTTCCTCTTCTATATTCTTGTCTGTAATACCAAGATTCCAAATATCCCTGCTCCTAGTGGTCGTTCTCCAGGGAGATGTAGAAGAGTATCGTAGTGAACCACCACCTTCTGTTATAGAACCCAGGAGCGGGGTAGCTGGGGGGCGTTTACCAGGTTTAGGGGCGACCACAGGGGGAACTTTTCTTCTTCCCCATGTTCCCCATGGACTAGAGGATTGTTCAAAACCTGAAACTTAACAAAAAGAATAATGCAGGGATGAAATAATTAATACTATTAAAAACTATGAAATGAAAATTTATGAATGTGAGAGATGAAGTTAAACTAGTTTCTGCTTCTTTAAAGAATTGTTATAAATAGTTTTGGATCGTTTTAAAAAAAAAATAAAAGAAAAAAACTTTCAAAATTTTAAAACTGTTTTTCGTTAAAGTTTGCTTTTAGAAATTAAACTTCGGAATATCTTTATTCTCACAAAATTTTAATTAATGATCCTAAAACTACCATTACAACACATTTGTTTTTTGATCGTTTTTAAATTGTAGTTGGGCTGTTTTTTATATATATCTTCTGACAGGGTCAAACGTAACTGAGTCTTAATCACAAACTTAAATGTTCTAACCACAATACCTGTGTTATCTGATGGCGTAACTTTGATATTTCAAACTAAGATTATTTGATTTAACATAATTCATAGTTTAATCTAATATCTACGTCATTGGGTGGCAAAGATATTGTGATAAGAACATCAGAGTTTGTGGCAAAGACTCAATACCTTTGACATAAGAGAAAAAAAAAAATTCGAAAAAATGACCTTTTCTTACACTAGGTCAAATTTGGACAATGAAACAAATAATAGGCAAAAAACGAACCAACTGAATGCAAATCACTATTTGTAAGTTCGAATTAACAGAATACTTTAATTTTCTTTGCAACCTGGTGTCCTAGACCTCTTTTGCATCTTAAATTTTAATGTTATGCTAGATCTTTTGAAAGCTAGTTAAAAGGGAAACCTTGAAAACACATGAGGTATGTTTTAAATCGTTTAGATTAATCTGAAATAGCACCTGTGTTTAAGCTGTAGAACTGATTGTTGTTACTTCTATCCAATGACGTGTCCTGTAAATTGTAAATATACAATTAAACACACCAATAAGTAGTTTACATATATATGTGTACATATCATTACATTAAGTAAGTAAATCAATACTTCTCCCATTAATTTGGAGATTAACGAAGAAGAAGGTCAAAATACGTTATTAGTAATACACCTTTGAGACCTCGTAGCTCCTCTAGTATTGATTTTACGCACAAGTATTTAGATAAAAAATTTATCCAGCTACATCAAAGAAATTTAAAACATTTTGTTTTCAATATAATAGCTTCTAAAATAGAGGAGTTATGATTGAAAACATATAAGAATTCAATATAATAGCTTCTAAAATAGAGGAGTTATGATTGAAAACATATAAGAATTCAATATAATAGCTTCTAAAATAGAGGAGTCATGATTGAAAATATATAAGAATTCAATATAATAGCTTCTAAAATAGAGAAGTTATGATTGAAAACATATAAGAATTCAATATTGCGTGGAATTTAATTTATTTTAACGAGTTTTACAGAAAAAAGCATTTCCTAGAAAAAAAATGTTTGTATAATCTACCTCTTTCTTTATCTGTCTTTGTACCTAGCTGTCTATCTTTTTATTTCTCTTTAACTGTTATGCATCTATCTATCTCTCTATCTCTCCTTAACTATATATGAATCTATCTATCAATCTCTCTATCTCTCTCTTTAACTGTTTATGCATCTATCTATCACTCTCTAACTGTTTATGTATCTATCCATCTCTCTTTAACTGTTTTTGAATCGATCTATCTATCTCTCTTTACTTGTTTCTATAAGTGTGTATCTCTCTCTAACTGTTTATTATGTATCTATCTATCTCTCTTTAACTGTTTATGTATCTATCATTCTTTAGCTGTTTATTTATCTATCTCTCTCTTTAACTGTTTATTTATCTATCTCTCTTTAACTGTTTATTTATCTATCTATCATTCTTTAGCTGTTTATTTATCTATCTCTCTCTAACTGTTTATGTATCTATCTATCTCTCTCTCTTTAATTGTTTATGTATCTATCTATCATTCTTTAGACTGTTTATGTATCTATCATTCTTTAGCTGTTTATTTATCTATCTCTCTCTTTAACTGTTTATTTATCTATCTCTCTTTAACTGTTTATTGTATCTATCTATCATTCTTTAGATGTTTATTTATCTATCTCTCTCTAACTGTTAATGTATTTATCTATCTCTCTCTTTAACTGTTTATTTATCTATCTATCTCTAACTGTTTATGTTTGTATCTATCTATCTATGTTGATTAATCTAGAAGGATGAAAATCTGAAAATGAGATCGTGAGAGCTGTGACAAGATCAGGGTTCTCTAGGTTCTCTAGGTTCTACAGAGTGAGATATGCAAAGTGCAAACTTAATGTTTTCCGACACTTCACAATTTGCTTTAACAGGGTTTCCTCTGTTTTTTAATTTTCCTGACAGTCTTTCCTGTTTCAAGGTTTCTTGGGAAATCTTTTCAAGTGTTTCATCATTACTCTGATACTTTATCATTTATGGTCACTAACAATTTCGTATACAATTCCTTAAACCACGTAGTTTGTTTGTTACCAATTGATCTGATACGTCCAGGGTTCCCTTTCCACCAGGTCTAGGAGGTTTTCCAGGGTTTCCGAATCCTCTGAAAATATTTGATTGATTTATTATCTGATAAACTTAACAGGGCCTGCACAGGGTTCAGCCTGTAAACCAGGATCAACTGAAATAAACGCCAGAATATCGACCGTAAACTATATTAAGAAGGGGTCTAGGGTTTCACAGGAGGGGGGGGGGGGTTAAAAGGAAGGGTTGTGATTATAAAAGGGGGAGAGGATAAAGAAGATTTCGAAAAAAAAGTGTGGCACTTAATAATTTATAAATTTGGATATACATATACAAAGCCCCAACATTTTGTTCGATCTACAGCATTTCAATATTGTGAATATTTTGCTAGAAATGATGAACAGAATGTTAAAAATTTCTCACAATTTATATTTCCCTAATATTCCTTTGATAATGGTGAACAAAATTCTTTCGGCAAGGTCGATATTACGAATAAAAACGTGGTAGATATCAGGGTTTACATTTTTCCCCGGAGCCTTACTCTGAATGTTTTCTAAAACTTTTAAGAATTATGATGATGGTTCTCTACCTGTGTGCTCAGTTAGCTGTACTGTACACTTACAACTGTTTACTAATATTGTTATACTATAGGTTAGGACAGAATCAACTTATAATAAACAAATATGCAGTACGCTCTCGGTATAGTTTATGGCCTATAAAATTAGGAAAGGGTTAGCGTACATCATCACTCTATACACTATAACCTCGTTGGGAGGAACCTTACTCAACCTAATTTTGAATAAATCTACCCCCTATTTGCTTTCCTGATTGGTCCGGGAAAATCGTCCCGTAAACTTTTTTAGGTATAACACACTAGCTCTATGTAGCATATGACAGAGGTATATTCTTAATTCGGATGATTGTTTGAAAACCATTCCTATGGAAAAGAACCTGTAAAATCATTCGTTGGGATGTTTAGAAAGATGAAAATTTCCCTATTTTAGGATTATTGGACGTTTTCAAAAAAATGCGAAAAAAATCATTTCTGACACCCCTAGGCTTAGTACGTCAATATAATTCACCAAAACCATACTGCAGTCCTTCAATTATCATACAGGGAAATTTTCATCTTTCTAAACATCCCAACGAATGATTTTACAGGTTCTTTCTGTAAGATGGTAAGGGTTCAGATTACCTTGCTGCTTTTTCCATCTGAGTGTCAGTCTTGTTTCTCCAGTCCGACTGAAATTATAATTTTCATTTCAAGCGCAATCACTGTCTTCAATTAATTTTTATTCATATTCTACGTTTCTATGTTGATTGAAATTGATTATTATTGTTTCATTTCCAAAACATTTAGGTTTTTAAAAGATTTTAAGTTTATAATTTTTTTATCTTAGTTTTCTCATAAATTTAATATTTTCTATACCTCAGATTTTCCTTCAAAGGATCGTATCAACTGATCTACTGATGTCCTTCCCTCCATAAATCCTTCACTCTGGAAAAAATATCGAGATTAATTGTTGATCCTCTCTTTTTCTTAATCTCGAGACTAACCTAATCTTGTACTTGTATCAGAGTTGCGTATCAAAAGCCGGTAAATTTGAAATTTTGCGCGCCATTTAATATTAATTTACAAAAACGAGAGGAACTTCGACTCTTCAACTTTAAAAAACCGGTTTATGATTTTTCTGTACTATATCCCAAAAATAGTGGATTAAGCAAGAAATTAAAGGTGTTAACATTGGATATTCGAATTAATCAGTCGGGATTAAAGGTATCCCATTCTGAAGTTCCCAGTGCCGTGGTCCTATATTTACCTTGTCCCCCTTGTCCTATATTTACCTTGTCCCCCCTGGTCCTATATTTACCTTGTCCCCCCTGGTCCTATACCAGCCTCCTCTGGATACCCTTGATGTACGAGGAAGAGATCTAGTGTACAGTGCAGAATTGTAGAAACTAAATTATCAATTAATAAAAGAAAAATTTTATTTAAACATTTTTTTTCTTTTGGAATTATCAAACCTTGAACTTTTTGTTTCTTGTCGTTCTTCTGTACACATATTCTATAATAATAATAATAATAATAATAATAATAGCAATAATAGTAATAATGATGATTTTAACCTGTGTAGGTTGTCTGGGTAGTGTTGAATAAGCCGGACTAATTATTTCCTCTCTTTTCTTTTTATCCTCAACCCGTTCTTTGATGATTTGATTTCTGTCCTCGTTGTCTGCAGTTTGTTCTAGGGTCCTGTCCCCTGTGTCTGGAAGGGTTTGAAGGGTCCTAACTCCTTCTCTGCTATTGCTTCTAATTCTTCTGAAGAAGTCCTCTTATAAACTTGTTAGTTCTTATTTTCTTAAAACTAAAAGGTATTTCTTTAAAAGCTGTCTAGCTCTTGAAACAAAGAAAAATCTCCAAAATCTCCATTCTAAATTCTCTATCTAAATTATAAAGGATTGTATCTACTGAGCTGCGCATAAAACAATATTCATTATCACACGCCAATTAAACTGTGCAATTGTAAAAAGATCAACCACTCAACACCTTAACGATATGATTAATTCTCAGTATATAGATCTATAAAACACCCATCCATACCATTGCAACACCTTCCCCCCCC